TTGCGAAGTGATTTTTCGCAACGGAGCTCTCACGTTAAAAGTTAGAGCGGTTAATATCGATATTACCCTTAATGAATAAATATATAAATCAGCCAATAATAAAAACAAATTTAATATTTATTTGATTAGATAAATTATTTAAATTAATAATAATGATAAGAATTATCCATAATCTAAATATATATTGAAAAATAAAAAGATAATTCCTATATATATTGTGTTGTTATCCGGAAAATCTATTTAATAAAAAATTTCAAAACCATAAATCTATACTATTATTTGCGCAGTGATTTTTCGCAACGGAGCTCTCACGTTAAAAGTTAGAGCGGTTAATATCGATATTACCCTTAATGAATAAATATATAAATCAGCCAATAATAAAAACGAATTTAATATTTATTTGATTAGATAAATTATTTAAATTAATAATAATGATAAGAATTATCCATAATCTAAATATATATTTAAAAATAAAAAGATAATTCCTATATATATTGTGTTGTTATCCGGAAAATATATTTAATAAAAAATTTCAAAAACATAAAACACATAAGTAAATACTAATTAAGTAAAAACTTTAATTTTATACAAAAATTATAATACGTAATTATTTTCAAATTAAAATAATATAATAATATAATATAATGATATATATATATTTGTGAAGTTATTTTCGCCTCTGGGCTCACACGTTAAATTAAATTTATTTTTATACTTTTATATATAAGTAATCCTTAAACATGAATTTATCATAATAAAATAAAAAATCATTCAAAAACAAAAAAAAACGTGTTTGGCAAAAATAAATTTAAATTGTATTATTATCTAAACTAATATTATTCTTTTTGTAAGATCAATTTTTGAATGTATATTTATCGATTCAATTTTTCAAATTGAAAGATAGATTTCTATATTTTTATTAATTAAGAAGAAAGGAAATAGACTTTAGATTTTTTAAAGTTTAAAAGGAAGAAGTATATTTTTTTTAATTTGTGAATAAATTTATCATGTAAAAAAAATTAATTTTTTAGGTTAAATTTTTTGGATGCAAATATCATTTATTTTGATGATTTTTAAATAGATTTAAAGATAATTAAGCCCGCATGTGCGGGCAAAACACCTAGTATATTATAATTGCCAAGCAGATAACAGCAGCATTAACGCAACATCCCGCTATAGAGTGTTTATTATTATTATTTTATTTTATATTTTTGTTGGATTTAAAATAAAATTGAAAAAATGAATCACAGACAGCCACATGTTAATAGGGTCCGCGTACAGTACAAGCAACAAGCAAAAACAGGTGTTTGTTTAACAACTAGAAACGTCGGATGTTAGGATTTTGGTGGGCTCCTGAGAGCTAAGCATCTCCATTTTCCCTGAGTAACAGTGAGACAATAATAAAAAATAATAGTGAGACAATATAATATATCGTACATAAAAATCATATATTATAATTGCCAAGCAGATAACAGCAACATTAACGCAACACCCCACTAGAGAGTGTTTATTATTATTATTTTATTTTATATTTTGTTGGATTTAAAAGAAAATTGAAAAAATGAATCACAGACAGCCACATGTTAATGGGGTCCGCGCACAGTACAAACAACAAGCAAAAACAGGTGTTTGTTTAACAGTTAGAAATGTCGGATGTTAGGAGTTTGGTGGATTCCTGAGAGCTAAGCATCTCTATTTTCCCTGAGTTGATGATGTTCTAACAAGCTCGGATTTATTCTCACTGCCAAAGAGATGTTTACACATTATGTGGCAACTGTGCTTTTACCAATACTGATCCTGACATGGAAAAGATCAGAAGCAATTTTCTGAAAATTTGCCATTTTTTAAAAAACATTTTTATACCATAATAATAATTCTTTCTGACTTAAAGCTGATTTTTTAAGTATTTGCTGAAGGTTAGAAGTTGTTGTTTGTAGTGTTTCCTCTCAGAACTGGCACTGACTTTCACGAGCCAGAGTTTTGGAGGAACGATCTGGAGAGTAAACAGAAAGATACGCATCGACCACATGGTAAAAATATAAACAACTTGATATCAATACATTACCACTATGTTAATACGACTATACATGTCTAATGACTCTAGTTCAGTTTAACTAGTCTGAAGCATTCCTAATTCTTACAGAAAACGAATCTTAACACGAAATGAAGAGGAAATAACGGGCCTTATGTTTTCATATACGAAGTACGAACATGTAACTGGAAGAAAATTATCATTTTACTAAACATAAGATTTCGCTCATATTTGCAACTCGGCCACACAAAGATGAGTGTATTGATTCCTTGATAGATCTTGATATTAATTGAATGAAAAAATATTGTAAATCTATTAAAAATAAACAATAAATAAAATAGGGGTCAAAGCTTGTGTGATGCACATGTATGTGTATAGATAGAGAGATCCAAGAAAAGTACATTAAGACAAAAATTCCCATTACTAGGTATTCAACTATTCATGGTTCCCTACACGCTTATGCATTTTTGTGTAAACACTCTTAAATACATCACTAATAAATGATAAATCATTATATCTTATTCATATTTATAGATATATGCTTTGCAATAACAAAATTTTTTTTTAACAAAATATGAAGACCTTTTTAAAACACTTTTTAAGAAATGAAAAAAAAAAGTCTTTTTTTTTTGAGAAAATGAAAGAAGAGTCTTTCCTTGTCTCATGATATTTTGACCATTTAGTCCACTCAACCTAGAGGTCTCTTATAGAGACCACAAGGCTCCTCTGAAATTAAATTTCATCAAAACAATAAATATTCCGTATTCATCAAGACTTGTATTGCTCTTAATATATAATGATTTGACTTTGTTGTTATCTTTTTATACGGTGCGTACACTGCGTTTTCGAAGTTCATGTACATCAGCATTAATCTTTATCCACCATGGTAGACAGTAAAAACAACACGTATCTTAATTCAGACTGAAATGATTAGTAATCTTATTTTACAAACCACAACTATATATATTATCGTAAACTCTTAATCTACCTTTATGTTTTGCCAGTCTTTACTCTAATTTTTAACACTTACAAATAGAAGCATGTGTAGATTATTAATAACTAGACTAATCTAAAATTATCACCGTCCAAGAATTTTAATAAAAATATAGTATATATACTTCATAGAACAAGAATAAAGAAAATTGTTTTCTCTTAAGCCACAATAACAATATTATATGTTTTGTTGTATTTTAATACTAAAAGTGTCACTATTTTGATGACACGTATAAATTAATATTTAATTATTCTTTCAATACCTGGATATACAGGTTTCTTATTGAATTTGACGCAAAGCACAATGGGCTCTGAAAGACGACTGACTCCTCACATCAGCACCACTCGATCGATGGTCCGATATTTCGTATCTTGTTGTATGTTAAAGACATGATGTTAAATAAAAAAATAATGCAAATATCTTCCTCTTGCTGATGTAATAAGAAAAAGTAATTCATATAAATTATGATTATCCACTACTCCCCCATGCACCTTCTTATATTTTTGTGTAAAAATTTATGGAGTGATAATTGATGATACTAAATCCTACAAACCAAAACATAAACATGTTCATGATAGGCCAAAGATTGCGGCTGAGATGCCTTGGATACCTTTGCTTTATCCAATGTGGGTGACAAAGTGGTCGAATATACAATCTATAAACTCATTTCTAAGCAAAAAGATATGTATATTATAAGATATGGATCTAGTAGCGGATATAGGTAGGATGCACAATTCTTGTTTAGTCTATCAATGTCCAAGAAATCACACAAACTTGTAATCGTTGAAATTGTATTCTAACCCGATTTATATAAAAGTTTACAAAGTAACTTCTTTGTATTAAATTCAATAAAAGATAACTCTTATAAATCAAAAACTTATTATTTATATTAATAAAAACACCTAAATAAGGATTAATTATTATTTTTTAGCATCAAGAAAATAATAAAGGAAAAGTGATATAAACCAAAGCTCATTAGTAAAAAAATATCTTACTCAGCAACAGATATACATAAACACACACCCAGAGCGAGCACCCATGTAAATGATTTCCAGAGTGACGCCGAATACATACTATGATTCAAGAGCCATTTAAATGTCCTGCGTTTTCTAATCTCACACACCAGTCACTATTATTCTTTTTTGTTAAATACCAGTTCACAGACCAGTTTACTATTTTTCCAGATAACTTTCATTCTACGTCCTTTAAGTGCTATAAATATAAATATGTTTTTTTTCTCCATGAGCTTGGTTGAAAAAATGAGATAATGAATGAGATTTTAATATTACTATAAATAGTATGTCCTATATATGCTTTTATCATTTTCAAAAAGAATTTTACCACTTGGTCTTTCCACACTCAAATGACTAGTAATCACAAGTATCACTATTGTTAGTATATGCACTCTGTTATAAAAATGCATCTTAAACTTGAGAAAAAACTCCTTATACCATTGAATCAAAGGGATTATTGTTCAAAAGTTAATTTGGGAAAATAAATTAAATAATGTATGAAAGCTTTATGTCTTTTTTAAGCCCATGTCCCTCCCGTGTGACGACGGTGTGGAGATTTTTCTTGACTGAAAAAGAGAAAACAGACTTGTTCAATAGTATTTATCAACTTTTTAGACACCATATTATCACAATATATTAATCAACTTATTTAGAAATCAGATAATAATCCATCATTTAACAAATTTGCTACTCCAGTTTGTCATATATTTAAATCAACAGGTTGGATGGAAGGTTATCAGTGTTTGAATGTCTTACCTTAATCAAGACAATTATGGATATAAGCAATGAGTATATGCAATATATCGATTAATGTGACATTAACTAGGTGCATATTTACTAAATTTTTATGTTGGAAACTTTGTTATTGCTTCACCCAATTGCAGAAAATGGGCTCCACTCCCAACTTCTCCTCTCATTTACTCTATAAAACCATCCCCTCTCTTCACACACCAAAACTCCATCAAAATTCCACAATCATTTTTCTATTTCACCTACCTTTCTTCACAAGAAGTATAAACCCTAACTTTCTGCCCAAGTCAAACTCCAAAATGCAGCCGCAACCCGACGTTTTCAGCATCCATAACTACCTAAACTCCTCGATCCCATCTCCATATCCTTCCCATTTCCAGATATCATCGTCATTTCCAGTCAACGGTCAAAACCTAAACCCCTTTTACGGATTCCAAAGTGCTACAAACAATCCACAATCCATGAGCCTAAGCAGCAACAACTCGACATCAGATGAAGCCGAAGAGCAGCAGGCAGACAAGAACATAATCAATGAGAGGAAGCAAAGAAGGATGATATCAAACAGAGAATCTGCAAGGAGATCGCGTATGAGGAAGCAGAGACACCTTGACGAGCTTTGGTCTCAGGTAATGTGGTTGAGGATCGAGAATCATCAGTTGCTTGAAAAGCTTAACAATCTCTCTGAATCTCACGAGAAAGTTCTTCAAGAGAATGCTCAGCTTAAAGAGGAAACATCCGAGCTTAAGAAAGTGATCAGTGATGTGCAAATTCAAAGCCCTTTCTCTTGCTTCAGAGACGATATAATCCCCATTGAATAGAGCATTTTTTACCCCTTGTACCGTGGTTCATATATTATATGTATTATGTGTGTATATCCGGAGATCTTTGTTTTTGTTTATCAATAGTTCCGGGTCTTAGTCCTCATATATGCCAGGGTTGAGAGAAGGTTAATTAGTCTCTTAAAGAAGATTTGTGTTAATGAAGAACAAATATAAGTGGTGTTAGTCAAATCATGAGTCGTGTTGGTGATGGGGACATTGTAAGGTGGTGTGGGTTTTGTTTCTTATTACAACAATTTCTAAATTTCCAACTACAAACCAACACATTAACACATTTATATGTTAACATATTATATTTATGCTGACATCAAGTTACATGTTAACATATTTTGGACAACCCAAAAAAAAATAAGAGAAGATGGTTTGTGGATCCATGATGATTTCTTTTGTGAAACTTTCTAAATTTGATTATTTTAGGCAAAGACCAATGACAAGCTTATCTGTAACAGTTAGTCTCGAGGCCCACCAAGAACATATAAGGTGGTGCATCGACTTATAAATATTTAAAATTTTATGAAAAGATTTCTCACTAAAAACTGTACTCTGGCCTCTGGGTGCTGGTAATCAACTTAGCCTTGGTTTAGACATTTAAGTGATGCTATAGTTTTTGGGATAACGTCGTCTATTTGTAAGTCATATTTATACAGAGATACTATATCCAAATTAATAATTACATCTTGTTGAAATAATTAGTTTGAGATTTATCTTAATTTTATTAATTTAATGCACGCTTTTGATATAAACCTGTTCCTTTTTTTTTGTAACATATAAACTTGTTATTTATACATCAAAATCTACAAGAAAAAGGCTATATAAAACGGATTTAAAAGATTGGTCAAGAACCGGAAACCATTTTCGTATGGTACAAACTACAAAGTAAACCCAAACCTATCATGCTATCTTTCATTTGACACAGACAGATAGACAAAGAAACAATCTTACGTACGAAATCCTCTTACGAAATGTGGTCAACAAAACAAGTAAACTTTTATTTTTGTTTTCTTTCTATTTTTTCGTGTCATGAGATTCCTTGCCATAACCTTACTAGCCAAGAAACTTATAATCGCATAAAACTTGTCCTTTAATATATAATTTTCATTTAGAAAACTTCAGTCTCTCTTTTAACTTTTTTTCCTCTATCTTCTCTTCACACAGAACGCAATGTCAGTGGCACATTCAAAAGAGACAATAAAAAGATATAATCACCTTTAACTTCTTTTTCTTTGTTTTCATTCATATACACTCTCTTGATCAAAACCAATCGTTATTAATACCAAAGTATTTCAACCAAGAAAAACACACATCAACTTGAATCGGGAGCAAAAACACACATAAACAACTTCATGGTACGGAGCTGACCCGAAGAGAAGGGAACTTCTCTAAATGGAAATCGCCCAACAAAGTTGGAAAAAAGAAATAAAGAAAAGATACATAAAGCTTATAATATCATGTTCATCTAATAGTTAGTGACAACATAAACCAACAATTAAATCATGTCCGTTTAAATTATTTTGAGTCGTAGATAGTTAATTTTGTTGCAGAAACATGTCGTTTATCCACTGAATACGAAACAAAAACATTTGATCGATTTTGCTGGTCGCTAGCTACTAGAAAAAGTAGCAAAATACATCACTAATCGTTCTGCCAGTCATTGTCATCAGGAAGTGTGAAACGAAAGCCTTAGTCTCAGTATATTGACTACATACAATTATTGATTACTGAAACTGAACAAAGACATATGATTAGTTCTTTTTTCGGTTTAAGCCATTTCAAATATCGAAGAATCTTTTGGTTCCTTTTCATCTTCCAACAACAGTGGAGTTTCTTTTCTCGCTTTTGATTGTTTTATCTTTCACTTTACGTATTGTTTCAAGAATCATCTCAATCTTTGTCTCTATCTTTCTATAAATGTGTGTGTCCAAAGTACGACTGTATCTGAGACCATTACTTTCTTTCTTTTTCGTTTCGTACGACAATTGGTTTTTCTTTCTTTAGATTTTCTTTTTAAAAAAATTTGTACAACAAAGTTTATCTTTTGTTTTTCCGTCATAACATGTGAATGTTAATGGGTACGTTGGAATAGTAAATTCGATTACTAGGTAGAAGAATCCTTTTATAAAGAGCTAACTCCTAATCGTAGGTTTACCAAAGAATCGTTAGTAAATTGAGGATAATAACGTCAAAACAAACAATTCTTTCTATCGGAGGCCCATGGGCTAATTTTCAAGACTTTACTGTGCGTTTCGGTCTTGGACCTTTGGTATAGTTTTGACTTCTTTTTTAAAAGAAATTAGGCCCATAAGAACTTCCTCGGAAAATTGTTTTACCAACAACTTCATCCAATTTTTTTTTCACGTATTAGGCTTTGGATTTATCTTATTTTAAATTCAACTTTTTGCTACATGATTTCTTCAAAATAACTATCGTAAATGGTGTAATGTACTCTTTGTCACTTAACATAGTTTAACGTTGGTGGTGAGTAATTTACACATTCTCTAGTTTATATTGCATAGCCCATAAAATCTTGAACATTCAAACAAAACTAATTATTTTTCTGTGGAAGAGTTCCCATGTTGCTGTCATGTGTATGCGGTGGATCCATTTCCCTCTTTACAGCCAAACCAAACAAACCAACAAAAATATTTTCATCATAAATATTTAAGACAATGTGATCAAACACACATAGAAAGCCACAATGTGATCAATAATGGAGAAGTTGTCTCGATGGACACGTTTCTTCACACATGCATTTCTATACGTATTTTCATATACACCACTTTGTTTCATGACAGCGTTTCTCAATAGTACTTATCATAACCGAAATTTTCAGACTAACCATATACTGTATAACTTTTTCTTGTTCACAAGAAAATCACACAAACATTTATCCAAGCGTAGTATCTGTTTAAACTCGACTCTTTGTAAGAGCAGAAGCCTTTTCAATTGGTAATGAATTCAACATGTACGTATTCTTTTTGAAATGTTTTCATTTAAAATATCCATCTTATTAGATTTAAAACAATCATCTCATTATCTTTTTTTCCCCATGAAAAGAACATGTGGCGTAAGAGTCAGCCGTTCTCGTTACTTAGGTATAATATAGTTTTAATGTAAATGTAAGTTTTAGTTTGCCAACAACCACCTAAACTGTATGTAGCAAAAAATTATTATGAGAGAAATAACAACCTTCGTGTTCGGTTTCTTAACATTTTTATCAAAAAAAAAAACTTCATGTTCGATATAATCAAGAGACAAGAGGCATAAAAGAATACAAATATCAAATAGAAATATTTAAACACCTTTGCGTGAGGTATCAAAAAACCCCAACACAAAAATTAAATCAATAATCAAATCCCAATCTACATACAAACAAATTCAAGAAAAAAAAAAACTTACTTCTTTTTAGAAGATCTACTCTTGTTTTCACCCTTTTTCTTCTCTTTTGTCCTACACTTATGGTTACCACTATTCTTATCATCATGTTTATAATCATAAACGTCATTACTTTTACTATTACTTTCACTTTTCCCGTTTCTTAAAACGAGACCTTCTCTCCGTCTCCCTCTGTTGCTCGTTTGGTGATAACTTGGCCCGGAAGAAGCATCGGAAGCCATTGAATCGTCGCTGTCTTTGTTGCCTTCGTACTCGTTGACATATTTTCTTCGTTCTTTATCGATGCTATACCCATCATAATATACCTCATCAGTTACCTCTTCCTCTTCTTCCTCCATAGGCGAAGAAATATACGTGGTCCAACCAGATTCGCTGCTGCTGCATTCTTCTCTCTCCATGGACAACTCAAGAACCCTAGTTTTTAATGAGAGAGACGGAGAGAGAGAGAAAGAGGAGAAAGATAATTGTATGTTCTGTTTAGTCGTAGTGTTTTGCTTGTATTAATGGACCATATATAAATATATAATTGCATGTGCGTGGAAGAAGAAGACCCATGTTTTTTCATTAGTTTAATGTGTTAAAGACAGCTTATGTCTAACGTATAAAGTTTAATCCGACAGGATTCGAAGAAGAATAGCTGTTTTTATCAAAAAGGGTTTGTCTTTTTATAAGTTATGGTTTATGTGTAGTCTTAGTCTTCTCCTAATAGTATGAGCATGTTGGATAAATAAATGCTAATTAATATAATTAATTGGTTTCTGTTAGATAGAGCGAATTAGTGGTTTAAGCTCACATTGTGGCATGAGGGGAATGTATCTTTACACTAAGAATTCTCTGTAACGAACCAAACACGCATGCATCTTTGTGGAGATTGGATGTTTGATTCAAATCAAGCCATGTTAGAGAACATGTTAGGATCATGCCCTCTTTTCGTTATCCTCCTCTTTTTCTCATCGGATTCGTATTGTAACCAATTATAGACACATTTGCAATTAATATTACATTATTTGTTATCATATATGCTCTGAATCTTTTAGTGGAACACGGGATATATATATATAGATAGAAACTAAATACTTGTATCTTTTCTTTTGTTTTAAATAACCGTTGAGTGAAGAAATATATCATTTAAATCTTTTGTTCTGATATTAAAACATTCACCTTTTATTTATAATATTTAAGCAAATTACTTCAAAAAGGTTTTCTTTAGATTAATTGCATTTCCCTTAGTCGTTTTTAAAAAAAAATCAAGGTTAGATTTATAGTTGTATACCTCTCAATTAATAAAAGTAAGATAGTTAATTTAACAAACAAAAAATGCTCATCACACATTTTTTGGATTTTTAAGAAAGCATGTGGTTTTAAGAACCGCATATGATTCTATCCTTAAAAAAAATTGTTACTTCGTGTTTGTGAAAAATATATAAGAAACTTTCTCCGCTGGTTTAAAATGAATGTTTCATGGCGAGTGTATAGGTGTAGGACGGGAGGTGTACAAAACTGGAGGTCTCCGAAACTATCACAGAAGCTTCTTGACGTGATACACATTGAGATGAAAGGTCTCTTTTGGGTTTTAGAATGCCTAAGACAGAACCAGATACTCTCAACATGACTACTCCTACTAGATGACTTGAAGTGGAAAAGTTGCTATACAGTAGGTAGGTAATTTGATACAAGATCTTTGGGCAACATGACTTCATCTATCTAAAGTTTATTCTACAATGGTGCTTCAGGAAGTCGAATTATCAAAATAAGGGTTTCTCAAAATTAAATATTGGGCCATATAAAGTTCTATAAGCGGAAGAAGCAGAAATCGTATGTCTCAAGTAACCCTAACTGACACCAATAAGGCCCAGGAAGGCAGGAACTATAAGCTAGCCCAGCAGTAACTGGATTCTCTTACATCAGTAATTAGATTGAAGTCTAGTAAAAGCTATAAAGAACAAAAAGTACAGTAGGGTGCGAATAAGAAATATAGCAGGACGAAAGTAACTAGTAAACGAGCGGTTAAGCTAAAAAGAGAACGCACAAACCCCCTAAAGCAACTAAAAGAACCGGAGCAAACGGTTTTTTTAAGACAACAAGCATGAATTAATATATAATAATAATACAAGATGTTAAATTAAGCACAATCTTCGACATGAAACATGTAACTAAATAATTTACTTCCATAACATATAGTAGTATCAGGCAGTGCCAGCTTAAGGCAAGTGCACAAGGTGCTTTTGCACTAGGTCCCTTTATTTTTCGTAATTTATTTGAGGAATTATGATCTTAATTTGTAAAAATAGTACTCCATAAATTAGGGTCATCATTTATACTAACACCATTGGGAATTTTTTTTGGCACAAGGTCCATAAACTAACTGGGCCGGACCTGGTATCACATTTGCTAATCACCTAAATTTGATAAACTATTTTTAAAAATAAATGACTAACAAATATTGCAGTTAAGTCCAAAAACTTTGAATACCCGCAAAATTGTGGAGAAAATCAGATATTTATTTTTATGTTTTTTTTGTAACCTTATTTATTTTATGTTACTCTAAGAAAAAAAAGACTTCGTATTTAATTGACAAAAAAATAATTATTTGACTGGTGAAAGTGAAACACGTTGGAAAGTATTTCAAAATATAATAATTGTACCATTTATCAGTTTCATTCAGTTAGATACCATTTTCGCTCTTTATGTGGGAATATCCTAATCAGCATAATTAATTTGTGGGTTTGGTGGTTTCTTCATACTTGATGACGCGAAGATGTATTTTGTGAGTGTTTGCAGACACTCTCCCACTAATTAATCCTACTTACAATCAGATACAAGTGGCGGAGCTATTTTAATTGGGCTAAATAGTAGAAAAAGTGACATGCACTTCTATATCACCTTCAACTGGTCGGACAACATGAAATTGTAGTCGTCATTGCTTTATATTTATTCTTTTTTTTTTGAAACAACACTTTATATTTATTCATATAATAATAGAATGTATGTTTACGTTTCTATTGGCTAATTTCAGTGTGATCTACTGTGAATAGATTGATTTACTCATTCTTGAGTATAGTTAATGGGATGACGACATCGACATGACATTTGAATAGTAAACACTACAGTAACAGGTAACAAAAGAGAAAAGGAATATCTGAACGCACAAGGAATCTTCGTTCTCCATTTTGAACTTTTTAAAATAAAGTAAAAAATGTCCTAATGTGATCAAATGTATCCCCGTAAGCAAATACATAAGGATTTTCGTATAAATCTTCCTCTATAAATTCGCAAAACTACAACTGTCATAAATACACTTACAACACAAAGGGACAATCAAAGAGTAGTAAGAAATGAGGGCGACACCAAGAGTAGAAATTTGGAAGTCACCAATACCATATCTCTTTGGTGGTTTGTCTTTGGTTCTTTTGCTTATAGCTCTAGCATTGTTCTCATTGGTCTGCATACACAAAAAATCTGCTTCTTCTAACAATACCTATTCTGTCGAGGAAGAAGACGATGCCGGAGACAAAGAAGCTAAGACTGTTATGGGAGAATACTTACCTAAGATCGTCGTGATTTTAGCCGGAGACGACCAACCTACTTGCTTGGCCGTTCCGGTGATTCCTACGTTGTCTTCCATTTATCCTTGTAATTGCGGCAATGTTACTGTCGTCTCAACCTAACCATATTTTTCTCTTTTGCGAACAAATATAAAAAATAAAACCAATTTTTATAATAATCAAAGCTTAGTAAGAAAAAACTTCTATAATAATCATCTGGTATTTTGTAAGAGTCGACTGTTTGGTGGATCTTATTAGTACCATAATTTAAGTTTTTAATGCTTTATATGGCATTTAATGGGTAAATAAAAAACACAGTAGAGCAACCCTGTACTTCTATTTTAGAGTTTATCTACTATAAAAAGTAGAGGTGAACTGAAATACTCTTTTGTGTTAAGTTTAATCTTGAAAGTATGTTTATGGACTATATTGATCAGAATAGCTTATGAACTACATATGAATTAAAAAAACAGCTTATGAACTACATATCCCTCTTTATTACGATGTTAGAACTTTAGTATATATGTTATCATGTCATACAAATTTGGTGAGCATACGTACGTTTTGTTTGGAAATTGCAAATTATTTACACGTGCTAATTTTCAGTGTTGAATTTTTAGTCCTCAATTCTTCGTACAAATTACAATGTTGTTCATCAGATACACTGCTAAAAATAAACACTACTGGCCAGCAAAGTTATTAGCAAGCTACAAGACATATCATGGCCTATTGGAGTCGGATATTCAGAAGTGTAATAGATAACATTAGTAATCATAAAACGCATGAGTTGGACCTTGATGTGGCAAATCGTTATACAAGATTATAAGAAAATATAAACGATACATTTCATAAAATTCACATTGATCGGGAATTGGTGGACGCGGCGGCTTGAAAATGCCAAAAATGGACGGCCCAAAGTGAAATTTAATACTTTTGCACTTGTGTGGCTCTCATGTAGTCATGTGGTCATCATTCTTTTCTTATGTGCACTTTAACTATGATGCTTATGAATGTACTTTCTATATCTAATTATGTGGTATTTTTGTCAACTAATTATGTGCTATTGTTGTTATTTGTTAGAAGATAAACATGATTACTAAATATAATATATATTTATTAGAATTATTAGAATATTTAATATGTATATATAAAATAAATGTTACATTCGATGTATGTAAGAATTTGTTAACCAAATGATACATTTTATGTTAATGAGTATAATGGTAAATAAAATAAAGCTGACATAATATGTTGTAATCTATGTTTCTTTCATAAATACCATGATAAAGTACGTTTGTTACCATGATAAATATTATGAATTTATCTTTAATGAATCTATACTATTATTTGCGAAGTGATTTTTCGCAACGGAGCTCTCACGTTAAAAGTTAGAGCGGCTAATATCGATTATACCCTTAATGAATAAATTATATGAATTAATTAAATATAAAAACGAATTTAAATTTATTTAATTAGATAAGTTATTTTAAATAATAACAATAAGAGTTATCCAAAATCTAAGAATATATTTTATTTTTAAAAGATAATTCCTATATATATTGTATTGTTATCCGAAAACTATCTTTTGATAAAATATTTAAAAATTTAAAAGCAGAAAACAAATAATTACATATTAATTAATTAAAATTCTTAATTTTATATAATTGAAAATATAATATTGAATAATTTTAAAGATAAATAAAAAATTTCAAAATGAAAACAAAAATAATAATTTATGCTTCTAATTTTTTATTATTAATATATTTACTAACAAATAATTATAAAAGGCTTAAGCCCGCATGGCGGGCAAAACCCCTAGTTAAACATTGTACATAAGTGCCATTTCGACAAGGTAAACAAATTTATCTTTAATGAATTAAACATTGTACATAATTGCCAACACTACAACTATTTTGTTTCTCTTTTCTTAATTAATTAAATTTTCATTTTAATTTTCTTTTATAAAACCGCATAAATAATAAAAATAAATATTTATAAACTATATAAATGTTCATGCAGCTGTACACACTGACATTTGCTCATTTTCTCTAAGCTAGTTAATCTTCACTGACCTGAGGCTCCACTCTGTCTCGGAATCTATTGTTAAGACTCAAGCTCAATCCTCTGTCAATCTGTGTGAAACCAAGAATGATAGGATCAGAGGATATACCTTACCCTGGGTACAAACTTTGGAGGATTTCCAATTTTTTTCAAACAAGCTCACCATCAAAGTTCAACTCCGACAAGAGCAAATATCAGTCCTGTTCTATTATTAATTTGGAGTCTATCAAAGCTTGACGATTGTAGTCCTTTAGCACTTTTCTCAATAAAGGCTAGCAAACTTCCTCATGTCGGGAACATGATAGACCACTTTCCATCATCCTCTACTTTGTAGAAGTGACAATTTCCATCAAAGTCTCTCTTCGTGAGAAAGACTTTTTCCTTGGCTATGTAGCCAATGGTTTTTGTCGATTTTCTTACCGTTTGATGCCTTATGTGATGGTTCGTTTGGGATCGGAAGGCACAATGATATTCATTCGGATGGGAATTGTGGTTACGGAGCGTTCAACGTCATTGACTATTATCATTGAAAAATTTAAAGGACAGTGTAATCTCTTTAGTAGCTTACTCGTATGTGGCATCTTTGAACTTTCTTTCGACTTGTTATCAAGCTTTCCTAAGCTTGTCTCTATCTTTCTATGCCTTGACCGTACATTGACTTTCATATGTTGCATTTTATCTTTTTAATCAGTTATGTTATTTGAATAAAATATCTTCTGTTCCAACAAAAAAAAGTAGGAAAACAGTTATAGTTCAATTGGATAAATATAAGCAAAATCACATTTTTATTTTAAAATTTTACTTATTTATTTTATACATATAAATCATAAGGTATTTTAAAACTTATAAAATTTAAAACAAAATAATAATCAACCGTTATGATTTAGATGTTTTGTAAATATTTATATCCAGATTCATTTGCTACTAGTATTATATACTAATGATCTTGTTATAATTTTTTTAACAGTAGATTTTTAATGACTATATATTAATAGAATAGATACATTTTTATATTTCATAGCACACGAAATAACCGAACCAAGAGTAAATAAAAAAGGTGATTCCATTATTATTGATAAGAAAGGGTGAATATACATTGGTGATAATTAAATACAAAGTTTTGTGACCCAAAAATAAATAAATATATTACGACAAAGCCACATGAAATGTTCTTCCCTACTCCGTTTTTTATATTTTTCTCTCTTATAATCTACATATTTATAGAACAAATTTATTGATCTACATTTCCCAATTCCATTTAATGACACAAGGACATAGACTCCTCTCTTCACGCAATTCCAGCGATTAGTCTCCTCTTAAGTTCCATCCTGCAATAACCAAACCAACATTGTTCAGCTAAATCCAAAACCGATGTTAACCGGACTATATGCTTGACCATTGAAGTTAATTAATTACCTCATGAGTTGACGATCATTGGCACCCGTGGCCATCATTCCCCGGTTCTCATAAGCACGTCGGAGAAGATACGGTATAGCGGTTTCAACCGGTCCATATGGCATGTACTTGCTAACATTGAAACCGGCTCTCTTTAAACCGAAGGACAATGCATCTGACATACCGTATAGCTGCGCAAACTCTATATTCCCATTCTTTTTATCAATGTTGAGCTCACTAGCCTTCTTTGATGCAAGTCCCCCTAAAATTCATAACATTTCTCAAATTAGTAAATCTATTTTTATAGAAAAAAAAATAACAATATAAACATCGTTTCTATTATGATTCAATGTCTTACCCGAATCAGCGTTGTGTGTTGCAAGAACAACACCAAAACCAGATCCGTTGGATGCTTTCTCCATCAAGAAGGTCATGCAATCATTGTAGCAAGCGTGCGTGTTCTGAAGTGTGTCGTGAATTGGTGACTTGTGTCCCAAGGAATCTGCTAATCTAGCTTCACTAGACATATAAGCTCCTCTCACCAACTTAAACCCCATAGGAACACCTTCTTTCTCGGCTTCTTGTACGGCTATGTGCAACCTCTCACCAGCGTCTCTCAAGTAGGCCTGAATGGTGTTGTAAACAATGGGTCTATCTTTGTCAGTGTTGAACATGATTGCTGACGAATAAGCCATGTAATCGATCGCTGGTTGGAGGATTGTGTCTTCTGCATCGATCAGTAAAGGTACATTGGACTCTTGGCATTTCCGACAGATTTCTTGGATCCTTACGTGTGCTGCTTCGAGCTCACGTTCTTCTTCGGCGGTTAACGGTTCCGGTTCGGAGTTTGTGTGGTATAGAGGGCTTGAATCGGAGAAAACCGGGAAAGATTTGAGCTTCCATGAAAGTTTGAAGTTTTGAGTTTTGTGTTCCCATCTAAGCAAATCGCTCACTCGTTTTAGAAGACTGATGGGACAAATCGCGGTTATCTTCACGACCACGGAACTAAACTGTTGGGACAAAGAGACAATTAACGGGTTAGTATCAAACCAAAGGTAATAAATAAACCGGATTGAACCGGAGTTTTGGTTAAAGGAGAATATTCATAAAGTGTCGGAAAGATCTAGTCCACCACTTCCAACTAAGACCTCGTCATCAATCTAGTCAGATAGTGACGTATTGTTTTGAATTAAACAAAAGAAAATCAGAACTAATTTGAAAATAAATAATTAGACGCCAAGTCATTTTCATAAGAGAAAAATAGCAAGTTGGCTGTGTACTTGCTACTTATTTAAGGTTCAATAACGCGTAACAGTAATATAATCAGTATATTAATTATTTTCTTATATGAATAGATATGAATGTGCACGTATATGATAATCTGTACAAGTGCACTTTGTCAGGGTACGGAGATTTGGTTGTCGGACCAAGTTCCCCTAATTTGATAATTACCTCTAAATTGTTTTAAGAAAATAGTTATGAAATGATTAAGTTTAAAGATATAGTATTATAGATTGTTCTTTTTGTATGTTGTACGATTTTAACAATGTAAAATAATTTCGGAAAAAAAGGAAAAACAGAGAACCATCAGATGCTTACATGTGATGTTGGTAAGGATTTTGCAGCTTCGATGGTTTGAAGGAACTGTTGCATGTTATCATCACAAGAGGCAGAGTCATCGGCATGTTCCACGCCGTACACAAGCATACCTTTAAGACCAGTAGCCTCGTAGACACTCCTCACGCGGTCCGCGGCCGCCTCGGCGGATTCACCGGCGCAAAAGTGGTCATAAAACGTACTCTTCACAAGACCATGGACCATACCACGTGTCAAGGCGGTGTCCATGAGTTTAGAGCTCATGACCCACGTTCCAACATCCACCATAGGACCTATCGCCGCCGCATGCAGCACGGCGGTGGAGCGGAGGAGATCGGATGTGGGGATAGAGGAGAAAAGACGAGCTTGGTCGGAAAGATCGATGTCATGGTGAGCTTCGTTAGGTTTTGGGTGGTGGAGAGGTGGCTCTGGCGCTTGTTGTCCGAAGGAGAGGATCTCAGGGACGACGGCTGTTGAAGCCGTTACGGTGGGAGGGCCCACAGGTTTTAAAGCGGAGAAACGGTAAGGACGCCGGATAAAGTTAGTTCGGAGGAGACGGGTTGCCATAAAATTCAAAGATTTTCCTTTTGAAACAAAAAAAGAAATTTGTTTTTAATTCTCTTTTGATGTTTCTTAGGCTTTTCGGATTTATCGCTCTTTTCTCCTCTCTTCTTTTTTTTTCTCTCAACGCTTTTGATGTGTGTTTTATTTTGTTACTGCAAACATGTATTTATAGAGGAACATAAAACCATACACGTTTTAGGTGTTTTATATATATAGATATAGATAGATGCTGTCATGCTGATGTGTACGATTGTTAATTGGATTGGGATAAAATTAATCATCTAAAATTACAATGGATTTGTTTTAGAATTTCCATAAAGCTAACTTGAAGATTTACTTTCATTTTTAACTCAAAAATATATTCTACCATGAATTAGGATGAATCTTTTAGGAGGAATCTTAAAATACCGTAATCATCATTATTTGAAAACCATTAATGGTATGGTATCGTAAATGATGCGTCATCTACTCATCTTGACAAAAGAATTGGAAGTTGACCTTTTCTGTATTATAGTATGATTCATATCATAGATTTCTTATACATATAGACATATAGTTATATTTTAATCACGGTGGAGGTTTAATGGAGAATCTAAAAATACTACCATAAGTCCATAACTAATATTTAATCATGTATTCCGTGTTACTAATGCTGTATAGACAAACAATAAAACAAATAGGCACAACGTTTTTTGCTTAGACAAACAATATATGTAATTATCATCTAGTAGTAGTGAATATTAGCATTTTATCTACATAAAGGTATATCTGAGTTCGGAATCCAAAACTAAATTCAATACAATTCTTATATCTAGAAGCTACGTAATTTATTTTTGGTCCACAAAAAAGATAGCCATTGTTTTTTTGATAAAAAAATAGCTATTGTTTAAACAATTTTTTTTTATTTTTGAAAAAGGGTAAGAGGAAGATGATTGCGCCGTAATTTTCTGAGGGAATATATATTTCTTTCATTTACAAAAATAATAATTACAGGCTACACAGACAGCAAGGCCCTGACTATGAGATGAGTCATCGGTTAATATTTAATTGATATATTGTGATAAGCTTTATATTTCTAAATTGAAAAATGAATTTTCTAAATTAAATGAGTTGTTTCTGGAGAGGACGGTGGAGATGAGTAGATGGTGAATTGGATGCAACATGAGGATCTAGACTCGTTTTGAATCTTTGACTTTTCTAATTGAATCTTGGAATCTTAATGATCACTCATTTGAATTAAACAGCAAAGTTCATCTCCTTAACAATAGCAAATAGTTAAAATAGACTTGAAGTAAAAATGGTTTGCTGCAGCACAATCTCGATTTTGATTCACCCATGTTTGCATTCTATTTATAAAATATGCAATAACGTGTTAAAATTTTACTGTTTAGTTGTACAAACGACCAATAATAAAATTAAAAATAAATTGACTTGCTTATTACATATATGGTTTTTAAAGTAACACATTTATTTTATACAAAAATATTTGATATCGAAAAGTTCGATTACAGGCTATATATTCTATAGCATAACATCATGTTATTTTTATTTATTACGGGAAACATGTCTTTTATTTACAGTGTTTTCTCATCGCTTATTCCCTCGCCAAATAATTTCTCAGAAGATCTTACTATCAAGTAAGCTTTTATAAAAGCTACTCAGTAAAGTAGCACTTCAGTACGATGATTTTATATTAATGATCTATTAATTTTTATTACCTAAACCACTCGACGCAATAGTGAAGACGAACCAACCAAAGGTACTGATAAGATACAAATATAAAATTTACGAAAAGAGAATCTTTGACAGAAGCAGATCCTTACAAAAACAAAAAGCACAGAGTGGTACCCACTTCCAGCATCCAAAATGGCAGTGCTACCAAGTTTACGGCTCAAAACTTATAATGTACTGCGTAATTTGAGCCGTTGATATGAGGGAAGGGAGACGGTGAGAGGGTCACGTGAGGAAGTAAAGAGGTTAGGTGAGCATTGGACACGAGAGTTCCCCAGCTGTAGCCGCCATTTTCATTGGTCCAGCCCAAACTTCCATGCAATATTCCTTTATTTTGTGTTTCCCAAAAAATTATAATGAAAATAAAGTTAATACTACTTCTTTTATTTGTTTTTTGAATAAATTTTAAATTGATTATATCTGTTAAGTGATTTGTTCATAATGTACATGTAAATGACTTTTTGATAAAAAAAAGAATATGTAATGACCTTGATGGTGTTGATTTCACAAAACAAAACTAGTTTTATGTGCTAATCAGACTGCATTATGCATTATTGTTATCTCGAGATACCTTTATTCAAAACAACTAATCATTTTGGATAAATCACATCAAATCAAAATAATTGATATAAAGGTTAAAGTGTATAATCTTTTTATCTACAAGTCATATCCAAATATAAACAAAACTATTGAAGAAAAACAAAACTTCTCTTTGAAATAAATATTTAAATCCAAACTTACACAAACTAAAATCGAAACCATGCCAAAGTATTATGCTACATGGGGTATATTATTTATGTTCTTTTTAACTAACGAACTTATGATAATACTTTTACATGTTTATCAAACTTGATATCCATCAAGTGAAAAGCATTTATAATCAATGCTAATAGATGTATAAAAAATCAAATGCTAATTAGATACAGCTCGTGCATTTGTCGGTCTCATGGACATATGGTACTACAAAGTTCACGATTTCGTGTTGTGCGTCTTTTTCAGCGAATCATCACTATTTTATTTTTTGCTTCACCTCGTCCGTCAATAGATAGCCGAAAACGGTATTAGAAACAAAATGCATACAACATTCATAACAAATATGTGAATATCTATATAAATAGGTAAGCACAAATCCATATTCATTACAAAAAAAAAAAACAAAAAAAAAACAGAGAGCGCATATCAGTTAACAACTAAGGTATTCATATTTTTCTTGGGCAACTATCTTTTAACTATTTTTTTTATAATTACATTCGTTTGCATTTTCCTGTTGTGCTGTATCTTTCGTGGTGACTAGGGACCTAGCTAGTGCGAATATATATGAGTATGTAGTACTTTTTACTTTAATACGGAGATAGCGAATGCAACAAGTTGAGTCCTTTCGAAACCCACATGCCGAAGGTTTTTAGAATAATGAAAGAGACAGCCCATGAGCTGCCAAATTAATTTAATCGTGATGAGTCAACAATGAGTAGATGCCAACAATGTTGGAAACTTCCCAAATTATTAAAATTTATAGACATACAACATGTATATATATATGCATTCCACATATCATTTCATTATATTTAGAGCTGTATATCAACTTCACAAATGTATATGTATTATATGGACGTAGGTAGAATATACTTCTGTGTATAATCAAAAATATTCATTTAGACGCCGCCATATAGTACGAGTGATGCATGATCAGTTGACTACTTAATACTTTAATCCTTCAAAAAGTGATTAAATAGTCAAATAGGTTATATACTATACGAATGAAATCATGTATATGATAAAATATCTAAATGTGTTTACAGAGAGGCTAGGATTTGAAACACCAAGGATAATCTTGGTCTTTCACCTAGAGACTTTGGTAAAACTGTTTAGTCTTGAGGTTCAGCTAACTTTGTCAACATCAGAGTTCAAACAAACTCGTGGGAAATATTACTCCCGACAAAGCAAGTTTTAGTTAGGTCAACTAATTTACTTTCACTTTGCACGCTGATCAAACGGTTAACACTATATATGTCAGACTAGAGAAGGTTTGTATCCCAGTGATTTTCCTTTTCACAACTGTCAAAAATCGTAAGTTCGATTCTCTGTTGTCATGGTAGTACTAGCCTTTTCAAAAACTCCCGACCGCTCACAGTTAAAGGGTCATCCACGTCCGTTTACTCCGCCTGTGGGCCTCATCCCGTTTCAACGGCTGATCCGTTAATTTTTCAAGGTTTTAGAGTCAGGTTTAGTGACTCTGTAATCACCACATGATATTTTCCCGTGTGGTATCGCAAATTACTTTCCGATAGGTTATACATCCTTTGATTACTTCATCTCAAGCACGCATAATTCTGAAGTTCTCTGTGGATGTGCTCCTGAAAAAGTAAATGCATTTTGGTGATATAGATAATCAAATCAATTCTTTTAAATTTTTCCATATATCACAATTCAGATGTTACAAAAATATTCTAAGAGGTTTTTCTGAATTTGGGGCAGTACTGGCAATGAGAGATAACCACTATAAAATGTTTACCCGAAATAGTGTATCTGTCCGACTAAATAAAAACGACAATATCTTAAAACAAGCAAACCTGAAAAAATAAATATCTTATAGCAAGTGCCGATTAATTATTTTGAAAGACTATAAAAATGTTTGTTTAGGCCATAGCCTCATAGGTCAACTATTGTTTAGTGGAGAATGAGTGGTGCAAGTTGAGCACTTCACATCCATCTGCAAATTTTCTCCTACATCGTGGATATTGTAAAGCACAAGCAAAACGAGACTGGTATGAATATAGTCATCTCGATTTGACGAGTTTACTTGATTATTTCTTTCTTTCTTTCCACTATACAAATATTAAGCGTATGAACGATGGATATTTGGATGCATATTTTGATATATTATAGATTAATTATCGATTAAATGATGAATGCAACATCGATAGCAATGTATTATTTGGATCAGAGTTTATATCTGTCTAAATTTTAGCATTGGCTCCTTATTTGTCGGATTTTATCACTAATAAAACTATTCCAAAAGTGGTTTGTGATTGTTTTTTTTTTATAACACTTAATGATTGTTTTTTTTTTAATTTGTGTGTTTACAGCATCATACAGTAAGTATTTGTTGGTGTAGTTAAATACATATTTCATGTAGCCATGTAATATCATTACCAAGGGCATCTCCAACCCACTCTATTTTTTATTCTGAAATAGAGTTTTAGAGTAAAAATGCTCCAATGATACTCTATATCTCACTCTATAATATAGTGAAAAATAGGTTTACTCCAAATATAGAATAACTTATTTTTTCTTTGTTCATCACTCTATTTTTTACTATAAAATAGAGTACATTTAGAGTGAACTCCAACTCTATTATAGAGTGACTCTATTTTAGAGTGAAAAATAATGTAAACCATTGGAGATGGTCTAAGAAATATAGAAAAGATATATATATTGGCGACCCAATTATTTTTTTTTGTGCACATCTTGGCAACCTAATAAAACGATGGGGTTAAACAAAAATATTTGATTAATAACCCTACGATTGTTGACAAAAAAAATCCAACGATTAGGGATGCCACAAGATAGCAAGATGTCACAAATATTAAGCGTATGAACGATGAATATTTGGATGCATAAGTTGATATATAGATTAATTTATCGATTAAATGGTCAATGCAACATCGATAGCAATGTATTATTTGGATCAGCGTTTATATCTGTCTAAATTTTACTATTGGCTTCTTATTTTTCCGATTTTATCACTAATAAAACTATTCCAAAAGTGGTTTGTAATTTTTTTTTTTTTAATTTGTGTATTTATACTTTATAGCATCATACAGTAAGTATTTGTTGTAGTTATATACATATTTCATGTAGCCATGTAATATCATTGCTAAGAAACACAGAAAAGTCTATATCTTGGCGAATAAAACGAGGGGGTTAAACAAAAATATTTGGTTAATAATCCAACTATCAAAATATTATCTGGGGATGCTACAAGATAGCCACATATTTTGACAACCCAATAAAATGATGGGCTTAGAGAGTTGGTTTATAGGCCCATTATATGTCCATATTATCAAAAGCCCTAGTCACCCCAAGTTTTGAAACACTTGTTCAGTCTAAACCGGTCAATTTAATGGTCTGATCCGGTTTGGATTAATTTAAAAATCCTTTCTTTTCGTAAAGAGATTCTTAAGACAAAGCAATCTGAAACACAAGTGAGACGATGCTTGAGAATTACATTCTCTGAAGATCACTTCTCTCTTTCTCAGGTAACGAAACTTTCGAATCATCCAATACATTAACTCTCAATTGAATTAGCTTCCTATATGTTCTGTTAATCACTCTGTCTCCATGTGTATCCGTCTCTCTAAACCTTAGTTTCATCTCTGCATGATGATTTGAGATATTATAAACCAAAAAAGAAAAAAAAAAATCAAATCTTTTGTGATGTTGAATGCTAAAGATCGAACCTTTACGATATTCAAATTCTAAAGATCGAGTCTTTGTGTGATGTTTAGATTCTATAAAAAAGGTAGCAGAGAGATCATGGAACAAGGTGATGGAGAAGTCAAAAAGAGAGTTGCTTTTGTCCTAATCGATGGTTTGGGAGATGTCTCAATACCTAAATTAGGATACAAGACTCCTCTACAAGCAGCAAACATACCAAACCTTGACGCAATCGCATCAGCTGGAATCAATGGTTTGATGGATCCAGTGGAAGTTGGATTGGGATGCGGTAGTGACACTGCTCACCTCTCCCTGATGGGTTATGACCCTAGAGTGTACTACAGAGGACGTGGCGCGTTTGAGTCAATGGGTGCAGGGTTAGCTATGTCACCAGGTGATATAGCTTTCAAGGTGTGGTTGCAATCTTTATTCCATCTCTTTGTAGATTCTTTTGTTAGTTTTTTATAGGTTTGATCAATGTTCAAAAAACCGGTAGGCGGTGGCTAAACGCTTTATAGAGGATTATTGTTTAGGCGGGCGTCTAGACCGATTTTTAGAACATTTGAGTTTGATATTGTGCAGTCTAATTTCGCGACGTTGGATGAAGAATCTGGCGTTGTTGTTAGTCGAAGAGCTGACCGGCATTTCGAGGAAGAAGGGCCTATACTTTGTGCAGCTCTTGATGGAATGAAACTACCATCTTTCCCTGAGTATGAAGTGAGAGTCAGGTGCTTAATGTTCTGTTATTAAGTCTCTTTTACAATATTTTGGTTTTGTGCTGAAGCAAGATCTTTTGTGTAACAGATATGCAACTGAACACAGATGTGGAGTGGTTGTAAAAGGGCCAAAGCTCAGTGGGAATATCTCAGGAACAGACCCTTTGAAGGATAACCGTTTACTTCTTGAAGCTAAACCTCTGGATGAATCAGAAGAAGCCAAACACACAGCTAATGTCGTTAACGAGTTGTCCAAGGAGATATCACGCATTCTTGTGTCACACCCGGTTAATGCAGAGAGACTTGCACAAGGCAAGAACATAGCTAACCTCGTCCTTCTACGAGGCTGTGGCATTCGAATTGAGGTCTGTCTCTGTGTGTTTAGTTTAATCAAATAGCTTCTTGTACATATCTGTAATGTTTTCTTTTTGTATATTAAGGTTCCTCCTTTTGAAGAGAAGCATGGTTTGTGGCCGTGTATGGTAGCACCAACAAAGATTATAGCAGGACTTGGTATGTCCCTTGGTATTGACATCCTTGAAGCTCCAGGAGCCACTGGAGATTACAGAACACTTCTCACATCGAAAGCAGTTGCTATAGCCAATGCTCTCTCAGCTCCTTTGAACCCTTGTCCTAATGTCTTTGTCCCGGGAGAGGACGGTCATAAACCGGGAAGGGCAGATGGTTATGACTTCGGTTTCCTTCACATAAAGGCTATAGATGATGCAGGTCATGATAAGGCGACAATGTTCAAAGTTAAAGGGTTAGAGGCTGTTGATAAGGCGATACGTCAGCTCGCTAAGCTTCTATGGCAAGCTGAGTCTTGTAGTAATTACCAGTATTTCTTGTGTGTGACTGGTGATCATTCTACTCCTGTTGAGTATGGAGACCACAGCTTCGAGCCGGTTCCATTCACAATGTGCCGGTTAAGAGAGTTTGTGAGTGCTGTTGGAGGAGAATCAGCACTTTTAGAGACGTCTTTGGACCCTTTTCCACTTCCAAAGGTGGTGGAGTCTGGTGAAGATGTTACAGGAAAAGAAGAAGACGGTGGGAGGAAGGAGACTCTTACAGCGGTTGGTGGAGATTCAGTTGCAGAGTTGAATGAGATTGCAGCTGCAAGAGGGTGCCTTGGTCGTTTCCATGGTGGTGAAATGATGGGAATCATCACTAAGTTTCTTAAGCTTGAGGTATGAGTTTCCCTAAACTTTGCATTTTTATTTGAGAATTTGGATATTGGAAGTGTAATAAAATGATCAAAAGATACAAAAGAACAATGTCTCTTATGGTTTCTCACATGTAGACATCAATCTTTAGACTATTTATCAGATAAATGGAGCTATACATAGATAACTTGTTGAAAAAGAAAGGTGAACTTAGGTTTCACAACAAACCTCACCTCTTTTGAAAGTTGAGAGTCTTAACCGAGAGAGCATAGATAAAGGCAAAGAGCACACAAAAAGCGATGAGGACAAGTGAGACAACCCACAAGAAGTCATGTTCATAACCATAATAGTTCTTCATGAACTCAATAACCGTCTCACCAGTATCAAGCCTCGTCTCTACATCTCCATACTGAGATATAGTCACTCCATACAACCCCCACCACGCTGGACTAGCGTACGGGAACCATCTCAACCACACAGGCATTCTCTGCAAAACATCATATTAACACTATGAGCTTTTTTTGTTCATTAGTTTAGAAAGAGTCTTTGGTTACTTACAGGACGAGGGATGGCGTATCCTGAGAAGACGTTCAACGTTGTGGAGACGATACCATTGAGTATCGCAGCGGTTTCTTGATTAGGACTTACTGCAATGAGCATGATGCCGGTGTAGATGTAGTAGAGGATGGTAATGAAAGTAAAGAATGTGTATAGCAAAAACTTGGAAGCAGTCCATTCATATCCAATCATTCCATAGACAATAATTGAATAGATCCATGCTTGAGCCATTGTATATGGAATCTCAATCATCACCTAGAAAAATGAAAACTTCGGGTTAATTACTTGGTACATAGAAATTAGGCATGGGGTTTCGGTCTATTCGGTTTGAGTATTTTTGGTTATGGCTTATTCGGTTTGGCCACAATCCAAATGAAGTGAACCAAAACATCGGTTCAGTTTGGTTTTAGGTTCATTTCAATTTTAATTTTATTTCCGAAAATAACCATTTTTTTATTTCGGTTAGTATTCAGTAAAATTTTATAAAAAATCGGGTTTTTTTAAATTAAATTTGGCTATTTCGGTTAAATTAGCTACTTTAGTTTATTCGGTTTGGTTTGGTTAATTTTAGTTATTTTTGGTTATTTATTTATTTATTTTTTTTTCAAAATTGAAAACCGAACCTAAAACGAGAAAATCCTAGGCCGAAATAAAACCCGAACTCAAAACCAAAACCGAATCAAAAACCAAAACCGAATCAAAAACCAAAAATCTTGGTTCGGACAAATCCGCAGTCCTATTAGAAATGAAGTAAGTGAGGAGTGTGTGTATTACACATACCTGAGCGAATGCATATGGTAGAGCTGAGTACATTCCAGCAACAGTCTCTCGGTAAAAGACAGTACGTTCAGCTATGGCCACAGGACGCACAGTAGCCGCACTCTGTGAGCCTAAGAAGCCAATAACGATTGACATAGCACCTACACTGTTGAAGATATCTTCTCTTGTTCCCATTCTTTTGCCAAGGCTCCAGAATATGATCCCGTAAATGATTCCAACCGCAGCAGCGAAACAAAGACGCGCAGCATTGTAAGGAACGTTTCTCCAGTATGACTTGTGTAGCTTCCACAGGCAAGCTAGGAACTGAGTGAGGTAGGATTGTGAGTACTTTGTTGAGAAATGAATGTCTTGTGCATCTGGAGGAACCTTGTTTAGTTCCTTAATTAGATCTTTGTTTCTCCTGCTTCCCAAAGAAGAAAGGTTAGTGAGTTCACTTTGTGGATCAATGAATGGTTATGTATGTAACTTAACTTACTTGTAGAGGTTTGAGTCTTTGTATTCTTGTGCAAATCTGACACCAAGAACATCTTCTTGTTCCCTTGTTGTCACTTCAAGTGCCCATGTTGCTGGATTATAACCTTCCTTGATCTTACCTACTCCTCTTATTCCCTACAAACATCTTATTCAGTTAAAATCAAATGAGCATATGACCGGTTCTGGACAGAGTCGAATGAAACATTCGTCTTGGCCTCATAAATTTTAGATCCGGCCATGCAAATGTGTTAGATGATTCAAATACTTCCTTCTTACCTCGAAGTATTCAATTAGTTTTGAGGAATTGTGACCAATTGGACCAACATAGATCTCTTCTCCTCCTCTCGCCAACAAGAAAAGCTAACAAAACAAAAACTTAAATGCATAGGCAAAAAGGTAGAAATAATGATATAAAATAAAAGATATAAAAAAGTGTGAGAGAGTTACCTCATCAAAGGATTCAAAAATATCAATACTAGGCTGATGAATGGTGCAGACAACAGTTCTTCCTGTATCAACAGTGTTTCTAACAGTCCTCATGACAATAGCAGCAGCTCTTGCATCCAAGCCAGATGTTGGCTCATCCATAAAAAGAATAGATGGATTTGCTACAAGCTCTACAGCTATTGTCATTCTCTTTCTTTGCTCAGTTGAAAGACCGCTAATTCCAACATAACCAACCAACATATCTCTCAATGGTTCTAACTCTATCAACTCCATCACCTCTTCAATGAAAATCTGCACATTTCTGTCATTAGTTTATATGGTTTCTTGAAAGCGTATTGATCATCATCATGGAGTAAGAAAGCAACAAACCTCTCTAGTACTTGCGTCAATGTTAGAGGGTAATCTCAACCATGCTGAGTAAATAAGGGACTCATAGACTGTTAAGAGAGGGGAGTGTATGTCAAACTGTTCACAATATCCTGAAACACGAGCAAAGCTGTCTTGCTTTTTAGGAAAGCCAGAGACATTGATGTCTCCTTGAATGTAACCAGTGTTCTTGCGACCAGCTAAAACATCCATCAATGTAGTTTTGCCTGCTCCACTCATGCCCATTAGTGCAGTGAGATGACCTGGCCTAAAAGCACCGCTTAGTCCATTTAGTAGCACTAGCTTCTCATCTTTGATCCCTCTTTTTTTCATTTCCTACAAAAATTTTCTCTACTCTTTAGTTTCCATCTCATTTACCCTTCTCTTACTGAAAATAATACACTTACATTAGGAGTATCAACTGAATATATGATGTTCTCGAACGTGATGTAGAGAGGCTTGAAAGGTATACGCAGTTTTTCGTCGTTGCATGTTCTCTTTGTCGTCACACCTATAAAAGTCAATCTTTGTTTAGGATCATAAAGACTTTTCAGAAGAGATATATTATTGAGTTTACTTGTATAGGCGTTGCTATCAGCTTCTTCACATTCATCTGGTAAAACCGCAGACTTGGATACTCCATATTCTACAAGAGTAATGTTTTTGCATGTCATGGTATACTAATCTAATTATCATATATATACATAAAGAGAAATTAAAGTGAGAACACTCACGTTTAAGAAAAGCCAGACACAAAGAAGTAACAATGTTGGACAAGATTGTGGATATGATCAATGCCAAAAGCCCAATCCAATACCAGTAAGTCTCTACAAAAAATCCTCTAGATTTCAAAATTGCAACTCCAAGACCCTGCAAATTGTACACCACATAATAAACTTTTTGTTTCTGAAAAAAAAAACGTGAAGCTTGCATCTCAAGAAAGGGTTTTTCAGTAACTTACATCTTTCCAGGACTTGCTGCGGAACTCGTTAACGGAGACAGCAGTTTGAATATACATAAATGGGGATGTCCAATAAGCCCATGTCAACCATTTGTGGACTTGGTCTGCGTCATTACACAAGTGATCACTACTAGTTAGTGTATATAGATCATACGCAGAAAATGATTATTGATAACAATAAAAACGTACGTCGAGATAACACATATCCACTGAATGTTATCAGCCACATCACAGCAATACATCCCATTGTGTTTGCAACCACATGGTTCCTAGTCACTGCAGCGATACACCGAAAAAATCCATACGACATTTGTCCACACAATGCTAGAATCAAGTAATGTTTTAAAACCCTGTAATAAAAAATAAAAACAGTTTAAAAACACACATTAATATAGATACCTTATACCAAAGTAATGTTGAGATAAGCTTACGATGTGATGGTTGGATCATATCCAATGCTGTAATAAGTTATACAAACCACAAACAAGACTTCCACAAAGGATATAGGAAAGTTGATGACTGAAGCTGGTAACGAGAAAGCCCACGAAGGATAGAAGCTGAAACGACGTTGCTTGTAGAACACGGGAAGTTTATCGATCGTCATAGGAAGCTCAAAGAAGCCAGAGAAGACAATCATTTGTACTTCTAAAAAGATAGCTCCCATGTAGATAATTCCATCCTCTACCGTCTTGTGGTAGTCTCTTTGCGTCGAGAATACAATGGCTATCATGACCGCATTGAAAATGAGCTGAAATGACTTGAAGCCAAAGATTCTAATGTTTCTTTTCATTAGAATATGTTCTCTTAGTAAGCATGCCATTAGTAGCTCCATCTTTCTAGCTCCATACCTAGTTCTTGTCAAGGCTGCTCGGTGATTCTTCTCTCGATCAAAAGGTGTTGCTAGCTGAGAACTTATTGTGCTCCAGAGATGGTACGTTTTGAACCCTTCCTCGAACTTTTTTGCAGATATGTAATGATAAGGTAGCTCTGGATTGGTCCAGTATTGTTCTTGATCTTTTCTTGATAAAATCTAGTTGAAGAAAAGCGAAATCTTGATCAGCACATCACTAGCTAAGTAAAAAGATTAGGTTTAAAAAGAGGACTCACTTCTTGTAAGTAATCAGCAACTCCTTTTCTTTCAGGACACTTAAACCCCATAGACTCAAAGAAACCGAGAACGTCTTCTCTAGGTCCTTGGTAAATGATACGGCCTTCTCCAAGGATGATGACATCATCGAAAAGCTCGTATGTCTCTGGAGGAGGCTGGAGAAGAGAGACAAGAGCGGTTTTATCGAAAACTTGGATCATTTGCTTGATGCATTTTACTATCTGAAACGTTGTGGAGCTATCTAAACCATCTGATATGTTGTCCATGAAGAAAGCTCCGACTGGTCCGACCAACATCTCGCCTACACACAAACACTAAGTCACAACATGAACACGTACGTTTCAATTCTGTACATAAATATAATATTAGGATTCCACATTAGTACCGGTTGTTACACGTTTCTTTTGACCACCAGAGATGCCTCTTTCCATATTGTCTCCAACTATAGTATCAGCACATGTCTCAAGTCCTAGTAACTTTAAAACGTAATCTGTAACCACATTCTCCTTGTGTTCTTTTATAACCGAAGCCTGTAAAGAAGATCACAACAATTTTTAAGGAATGCCGGTTTATAATTTTATTTTGTTTCACAAAGTGTCATTTTATAGTTTAAATGTGAAATTGAACTAAAAATTCATTTTTAACCTATTATTTAGAGAGAAAAAAATTATGTATTGATACATGATAGAATATAATTTCTGAATCAAATGAGTATAATCTTTTTAAAAAAAAAAAATCTGTAGCTAATGATTTTTCATGGTACCTTCATTAACGCATCAAGATAAGGATCAGGCTTGATATTCTGTTCTTTCTCCCGTCTTAGTAACTCCTCAAGCATGTCTGTTCTCAACCATCCATGTCAATAAACAAGCTGGAGAGATGTTCTTGGCTTGAAAATGGAGAGATTATTGTAAAATAAATAAGATAATGGTTTCATACCGTAACCTGTGCCGACCCCTTGACATTTTGCGGAAAACTTTAATGTTTCACGAACTGTTAGCTTTGGCAAGTGAACATCGTATTGGCTGATATAGGCGGCAGTTCTTTCAGGTACAAACTCATGCATTTCATGCCCATTGTATGTCACTTTCCCTGTACACTATAACCAGTCAACAATACAAGGTTATATCATTGCTTCAAATACAATATATTTAACCAGTCAAAATATTCTTTAGTGTCTATATATATTTACTTTTAGTCCACTTTCTATCTTTCCAGACAATACTTTGAGTAGTGTTGACTTTCCAGAGCTTGGTGGTCCTAAAAGTAGAGTCAGCCTGTAGGAAGGTCAAAAGAAAATGAAAATGTGTAAATGGTAAAAGCCTATAAAGGCATATACAAAGGTTTAATATCTTTTAGAGTTTAAAAAAAAAGAAAGAACAAATAGCTGGACCTGCCGGGCTTGATGATTCCGCTAATATCTTTTAGAATGGAGATTGTAGTTTTTTTACTTCGAAGAACTCCAATTTTTGTTGCAACACCCTAACATATATTATAAAAATAGTTGAGATCAGTAAGAGGTCGTAGAAACTGACGTTGCAAATTGTTTTTTTTTTTGTTCACAAGAAATCTCAAAGAGGAATGATATGTTACTTTTGCAACGCTAACGTATGAGTTAATGACTGTGGGAACAGCTCTGTTCCCTTCAAAGGCTTCAGTAGTCACGTTCACATTCTCAAATCTGACTTCTATCGTTGGGAGATTCAAAGAGACTCTGTTTTTTTAAGACAAATTACAAAAAAATTAAAAGATTAACAATCATTTTTTATAATTTAATATGTTCGTGGTGTTATTTACCTATCGGTACGTCTCTTTAGCCTGCGTAGATAGAATCCATGCCAATCTTTGTCATCCATGGCAACAACTCTATCAAACAGCTCTCTTCTCTCCACGAAGTTAAGATCCTTAAGGTCAATCTCCTTGAAACCACCTGTGATCCCTCTCAGCATGGCCTTTCTAACACGGTCGTAAGTAGGAAGCCGCTCCAGAGCCGCCCATTTCATGGCTTCATCTTCCTCTTCCTCTTTTTCTAGACGACTAGTGTTTCTGTCGTTTAACACGTTCTCTACCTCTGAGCCTGCTCTGTAATGTGCCATTGCTTCTTCTCTTCCTCAACACTTTCTTTTTTTTTTCTTCTCTCAACTCTCTTCTTAGATGTAATATTGGAGGCCTATATTTTGGGAGAGTAGATTATATTTTGATTTGACAGTAAATGCATACATACACACATATGCCACGACAAGTTCTGATTTTTTCTTAGTCAAAAAAAAAGTTATGATTTTGAAGGTAATACAATGAATACAAGATTCTTAAATAAAAATTAATAATTAAACAAATCTGGATTAATTCTGATGTCACTTGTAATCTATGTCTATTCTTATGTTTGAATAATATCCAATAAATGAATTGACCAGATCTTCAACATAGTCTATACATCACCAAAATCAAACACTTGTCTATATGCATGCATATAAAAATTAGCCATACATGCATATGTGCAATAACGAACCTTGGATTTTTCTTACTTCTTTTTTTTTTGATTTTTTTTTTTTGATTTTTCTTACTTCTATCTTTTTACTTTAACGCGTAACAATTTATTATAGTGTTTATTCATCTCGTCTATGCTACTAACTTAGGATGGAGAGTTAAGACAAGGGATACATCATACGTCCATGCACCTACATAAATATTTAGGTAATATAAAAATAATCTATCTATATTATTATTTGAAAACTGATTTTGCTTATTTGCTAGGTTCTCTAAAGATTTTAATGAGTCATTAGTTTTAATAATAATGTTACTATTTAAAATTTTATCTTAATATATATATATATATATATATTTGTTATAATATTTAAGATAATTAATTATAAATGAATAAATACTAACAAATTATAATGATAATATATCATATATAGTTCAATTTATCTTATACTTTAGTTTATGATTTTTATGGTTTATATTACCAGATTCTCTGCCTCTTATAAGAAATATTGATACAGCTAGAAATTATTATAGAATTAAATTTTAATGTATTACATTTTTGAAATACATGGAAAATACATAATAAATATATTGAACAGGTGTTAATAAATAATGCTGTAAGTATAGCATTTCTCTTTATTTATGATTTGCACTAATCTTCAACTAAACCATAATTAAGTACATGTGACATATTGTTGATTTTATTGAGCATTTAAGTTTATGTTCTTTCGACGTATTTATAAATGAAGAGCATCAAATGATTTTTATTCTCGTAATAATATATTTAAAACAATAATAGTAATAATCTATAAATGGAAAATGAAAATTTATTGAAAATATTAGTATAAGAAAATGTGAAATTAGGATAAAACATTGAATAACATAAAAACGAATTAACAATTATTAGGTAAGATGTTTTAATAATTTGAGACTTATTAATTACCCATATTTAGAAGATCCTACATATATAGATTTTGAATGATGATACATTAATTTAAGTTTAAAATTTATTATAACTTTGTTGTACATTTGATTTAGGAAATGTAATAAATTAGAAAAAGACACTAAATGTTATAAATAGGCTGAGTTATTACTTATTACTTCAGAGTGATATTGAAGTGTAAATAAACTATAATTTAAGGGTTAGTTTTTAATTGTACTTCAAGTTTTAATAATATCGTTACATTATTTTCAAATTCGTATCCTATACTTCAAGCTCTGACTATGATTAGGAGTCACGATAGGGATGTGTCAATGGGATATACGTTCGTATTTTCACCAATGTTTTTTTTCTCCTGGATAAATGTTAATTCAAATTAAATAACAAAATACCGCAAGCCATGACTCACGATCATATATTATTCTTTTTTCTGTCAAAGGATCATATAGTATTTTTCAAGGTTTTGAAAAAAAAAGAAAAGGAATTTAACATACATATTTGAAATATGATAAAGACAGAAAAAATCCCAAATATGACACTTTAACAAGCAATAGATTCCCAAGACTCTATCATCTCATTTTACACAGCCTTTTTAAACAGTTATTCGTTCACTATCTTGCATCTTTTGTAAAATTCTTACAGGACGTTCTCAGAAGATTCATTAGGTGGAGGTGGACATAAAGTTCCCATGATCCCATATTGCATAGACACAGCAACTGAGACAAACATTAAATCCAACGACTCCAAAGATGCAACCTCACTGTTTACATGAACCCACTTCCAGATCATTTCAAATCATAACTCCACGGTCATTAGGATAAAAGACAAGATGGATTTATGTTACATATTATGTGTACAGTAACTTCCAAGTTTTGTGATGGTAAAAGAATAAAAATTCAAAAGTAATAGAAGGTTTCTGAGAAGGTTAATACAACTTGAACATAAATGTTGTTTTATCAATGTTTCTATTTCCTCGAGTAAAATCAAGGTTTGTGTCTTTATGTTTTCCTTTTGTTCAATGTAACATCAAAGTAGAAGTTTCGAACTATGCAGTTTTATTTCGGAAAAACGTTGTTTTTGAAAATTAAAAATGCAGTAGCCTACTGCATATATAATTAGTATAGTGTATCGTTAGTGGTTTGTCGCTGTGATTTCAGTCGTACAAAGAAGGGGATATAGTATATTAAACTTTGAGAAAATGTTAAATACGAAACACGTTTTGAAAGCATCAATAAGTGATTTAAACAAGACAAACATAAATAAGTGATAGAAACAAATAGAAATACAGATGAGTGTTAAGTTGTCAGAATTCTCTAAAGAATTTTTCAGATATTATAATTGTGTGTACTAAACATAGATATCATAATGAAATATGCATGTGATGAAATAAAATTATCAACAACCATAAGAGAAAGGCATAATAAAGAATACCTAACTACATACACGCCCCACAAATAAAGGTAATGGTATTTAATTGTTAAGACTAGTAAAAGCAAAAGCTCCTGTAGCACGTCCATTTTGGGTGCATAAAACTTTAACAATCACTAACCTCACTCTTTTTTTTTAAAGGGCAACCTCACTCTTCTTATAAATAAGACAACTCTCCTCGTCGATTATATATGAGAAATTACAAGAAAAAAAGAAATAAGATGGCGTCTCGAGAGAAAACTGATCAGTCAGTATCATCTAAATCGAGTTGTAACATACATGTAATATTCCGGTTCGCAGATTGGATAGATATAGTTCTGATGGTACTTGGAACGGTGGGAGCCATTGGAGATGGCATGTCTACAAATGTGGCGTTAGTGTTTGCAAGCAAGATCATGAATAGCTTGGGCTACGGTCAACACAATCCTCATACCACTACTTTCAAGGACGAGGTTCAGAAGGTTAGTCATCTTTCAGTTCATAAACAAGCAAACTTTTTTGTCCTCGCAACTATAACACTAATTTCTAAACTTGATTTGGTTTGTAACATGCCGACCAAGAAAACAAATGGTCGGTCGATTTTGTTACAAGATCAAACTTCTTGTAATTATTTTATGGAAACAACTTATTAAATTTGACATCGTGTATAGATCATAAAATGAAAAATGAATTATTTTAGTTGTTTTTATGAATCCAGCAATCTTGTTAATATATACGCAGTTCAAGTTATTATACTCAATACAGTTATCCAATATATGTATCCTTGTGTGATCAGATTTCCTAAAACATTCAGGACACTAATGAGTTTGATGTAAACAGTGCAGCTTATACTTCGTATACTTGGGATTGGCTATCCTGGGAGTGGCATTTATGGGTAATCTCAAAATAGTTTCGTCATGCTCTATAAATAAAATTTCCACAAAAACATGTTAAAATGTATTATTCGGGTGCAGAGGGGTATTGTTGGAGCAAAACAAGCGAAAGACAAGTGGAGAAGATTCGTCGAACATATCTTAAAGCTGTTCTCCGACAAGAAGTTTCTTTCTTTGAATCAGAAGATGCTTCCATTTCTGAAATTATTCACACCATTTCCACTGACACTTCTCTCATCCAACAACTTCTTAGTGAAAAGGTATCAAAATTCTGAAAAAGTATTTCTTAGATGGTTAATCAGCGTGTGTTCTAAGTATTATAAGATTGTAAATTTATAGGTTTAAGATTTAAAACATAAAAGAAAATATCCTAAATTACTGCAAAACATAAGTCTTAGTTCAAAATATACCACAAAATTACGTTTAGGAAGAGTTTCTGAAAATATAGAAAGAGCATCCATTTTTAAGCTTTCAGAGATTAAACGCCACTGGCCAACTTAACACTTAACCTTCTCTTAGTCCCACGGTTGATCCAAGGACAATAGCCGGTTTAGAAAGGGTTAATAAACATATAAAACTACAATTTATGTTGAAAATGATTTTAATCTATTAATTTATGTGTTGTATAAAATATAAAATATATCAATGTTTAGTATAAAGGTAATTCCACTAACAGAAATACAATAGAAAAATATATGCTTTTCGTTTTATCTTATCTTTATTTTATAATATTTAATGTCTTTTTCAAATTTTTCTTATCGAAATTGCAAAAGCCTAGAAACTTGCTTGCCTTTTCTTGGTCACACAACTTGTCAATTGTTTAACCCGAGCGGCAAATTTACTTGACCTAACTTAAAAATAAATGCTGTCACATCATCATACAAAGTGTATAATGTAAAGTGTATAATGACCATAGTGACAGTGTATTTTATTTTTAAAATTTTAAACATTTTTCTTTCTTATTTCTAAATACTTTCATGTTGAAGAAAATTATAATTCTGCTGTTATAATCTCAGGTGCCCATATTCTTGATGAACACATCAGTGTTCATTACAGGCCTCGTGTTTGCGGCATACTTCTCATGGAGATTAACCCTAGTAGCCCTCCCATCACTTCTTCTTCTTCTAATCCCAGGGTTGATCTATGGCAAGTACCTTGTTTATTTATCTAAAAAATCCTACAAGGAATACGCCAAAGCAAACTCGATCGTGGAACAGGCTCTAAGCTCCATCAAGACCGTTCTTTCATTCACGGCTGAGACTCAAATCATCAAGAGCTACTCAGAGATCTTAGAAAGACACAAAAAGCTTGGCTTAAAGCAAGGTCTGGCCAAAGGTTTAGCCGTGGGAAGCACAGGGATCTCTTTCACCATATGGGCTTTTCTTGCGTGGTACGGGAGCAGATTGGTGATGCACAAACAAGAAACCGGTGGACGCATTTACGCAGCCGGGATCTCTTTCATCTTGAGTGGCCTGTAAGTAAGTGAATATTTGCATAGTTCTTATATTGGCATGGAAGTTAGGCTGGATTTGGATACAGTCGAATGAAACAATTGCATTTAAGGTAGTAATATACATAAGGGCATGGTTAACGGTAGAAACCATTTTGGGTTTCTTAAAAATGTTTTTTTTTTCTTTTGGTTTCGTCGGATTTAAAAAAATTAAGAAGTCAACCAATTGTGAATCGCTACGTGTCAGTAGAATCCGCGAACAGTTCTAAAAGCCCACCAAAGTCGATCTTTGTTTTGTTACTTTGGTGATCTGTTTTTTAAAAAAAAACTGGGCCCCCTAATGCTAATAACCCCATTTGGGATCCGCGAAATTCATGGTCTAAGTGGTATAGTCCCAAATTTTTAAAAGAAAAATTAATAAGATTAACCTAAGAATGTTTATAATCCCTTAAATTTCAGTTCCGGCCTTATATCTCTGTTTTAAATAATTATAATTGAAATATTCCAAACCATGATGCAGTTCTCTAGGGACGGCACTTACTGAGATCAAATATTTCTCCGAGGCTTCAGTTGCGGCAGCTAGAATATGTTCAAGGATTGATAGAGTTCCAGAGATAGATGGTGAGGATACGACTAAAGGATTCATACCACATGCAAAGATCGAGGGAAGAGTAGAGTTTGATCATGTAACATTTACATATCCTTCTCGTCCAAAATCAATAATTCTCAAGGACTTCACTCTCAGAGCAGACGCTGGAAGAACCGTAGCTCTTATGGGAGCTAGTGGAAGTGGTAAATCGACAGTGGTCGCATTGTTGCAACGTTTCTATGATCCAACAGAAGGAGTTGTGAGGATCGATGGGTTTGACATAAAGACTCTTCAGTTAAAATGGATGAGAGAACAAATTGGTGTTGTGAGTCAAGACCATGCTTTGTTTGGGACCTCTATAAAGGAAAATATTATGTTTGGGAAAGATAATGCATCAATGGATGAAGTAATTTCAGCTGCAAAGGCTGCTAATGCTGATGAGTTTATTACACAACTCCCAGATGGTTATGAGACACAGGTGTGTGTTTGCCTTAGTTCTTGATTATAAACTTATGTATGTTATTATAACATTGAAATGAAAACAGATAGGTGATCGTGGGGGACTTTTATCAGGAGGTCAAAAGCAACGGATTGCAATTGCACGTGCCATTATTAGAAATCCTGTGATATTACTTTTAGATGAAGCAACAAGTGCACTAGATGCAGAATCTGAAACATTGATTCAAGTTTCACTTGATCAAGTAGCCGCGGGACGAACCACACTGGTACGTAAAACCAATTTCAAAGTTCATATGTGTTGTGAATAAACGCAAATAAAACTCGAAGATATTAAGAAAAACTTGAATATGAAATTTAGTCAAATACATGTTTTAGGGTTTGTGTATTGATTGTGTGAATGAATAATGTACAACCTCTTACACTTTTCCGGCTCAATGAATGTGCATTTTACTAATGCATCTAGATTTAATTCAATAACTAGACCATGACCCGTCCGACCGGGCGGATGTTTTGTTTTCTTTTAATTTTTAGGTTTATACTAAATGGTGTAAAATAAAAAATGAAGTATCAATTAAATGGTTACAAATTATTTATGGGTTTAATTTTGATAGAAGAATACCGAAAAAGTTCGTTGTTTGATCTGCGCAAGTGTTTGTTTTTATATATTTTATAAGTGATAATATATATTTCTAAATTTACCCGTTTAAATAATTGTTTAAAATGACATTTTAAACACACAATTTTATAGTTTATATTGAGTAATTTTATTTTATCTTATAAACTATCATTGTGTCATACTTATTTTAAAAATATGACCCATATATCTGCACAAATGTGTAGATTTGAATACAAGGTGATACAATAACTACATTACTTACATGTCATGGTCTATCTATATATGCCTTTTCATTTGTAATGAAATGCATCTACTGTGAAAACAGGTGGTTGCGCATAAGCTTACAACAGTTAGAGGAGCAGATCTCATTGCTGTGTTAGAAAATGGTTCCGTTAAAGAAATGGGTTCTCATGAAGACTTGATGACCAAGAACAACCATTATGCAAAACTCATCAACATTCAAAGACAATCCAGCAGCCAAGAACATCGACAAGATCTTCAAGATGGTGTCAAAACTCCTGAGGGAAGACAATATTGGTCTACCAAAAACAGTTTCAACAGGCTAAGCATTAGGTCTACCCCTGATCTCATTGCTTCTCCTCTCCACTTTGAAAGCATTCTCGCAGTAGCACCTGATGAAAATCTCTCTTCCACTTCTTTCACTCGACTTCTTCCATTGGTCTCCCCTGAGTGGAAGTCATCTCTCCTCGGCTGCATCTCAGCTGCAACATTTGGTGCAATCCAACCCATTTACGCCTTAAACATAGGCGGTATGATCTCCGCCTTTTTCGCCACAAGCTCACAGCAAATGCAAGACAGGATTCGGATATACTCCTTAATCTTTATCTCCCTCACCTTTATCTCCATGATTCTTAATCTCATTCAGCATTACAGCTTTGCCAAGATGGGTGAAAGACTAATGCAAAGACTTCGTTTGAGAATGCTTGAAAAGATATTCACCTTTGAACCGGCCTGGTTTGATATGGAAGAAAACTCTAGCGGTGAGCTTTGTTCAAGGCTTAGTAATGAAGCCTCCACAGTGAAGTCCATAGTATCAGACAGAATCTCCTTGCTTGTCCAGACCATTTCAGGTGTCCTAATCGCCATGGTTATCGGTCTACTAGTTGCTTGGAAACTCGCGTTGGTCATGATAGCTGTGCAGCCTCTCTCTGTCCTTTGCTTCTACACAAAGAAAGTTCTGCTCACCAGCATTTCACGTAACTACTCCTATGCGCAGAACCGTAGCTCAAACATTGCATCAGAAGCTGTTTACAACCACAAGACTGTTACATCTTTAGGGTCTACCAAGAAGATTATTGAGATATTTGATAAGGCTCAAGATGAGGCTAGAAGAAAAGGTAAGAAGGCAGCATGGCTTGCAGGGTTTGGGATGGGATCGGCGCAGTGCCTAACGTTCATGACATGGGCGTTAGATTTTTGGTATGGAGGAGTGTTGGTTCAAAAGGGAGAGATCTCTGCTGGAGATGTGTTCAAGACGTTCTTTGTTTTGGTTAGTACTGGTAAGGTTATTGCGGAAGCAGGAAGCATGACTTCTGATCTTGCTAAGGGCTCAGCAGCCATTTCTTCTGTCTTCAAAATCCTTGACCGTCCTTCATCTCAAGTAAGATACTAACAATCCATTTAACATTTTACTATTTTCATTACGTTATAGAGTTTTTTTGTTATTTTTCCATATATATATACAAGATATGAATATAGCCTAACAATATAATGTTGCGAAAATCCGCTAATTAAAACTGAAAAATGCAAAAAAAATAAAGAGCAGGCAAATATCTGTTTTATGATTTGTTTATTGATTTTGTGAATTAATAAAATTTCAGCTCTGAAATCCATTTATACTCTTCAAAATTCCTGACTTCTTTTTTTTTTCTAAAGGAAATTTTCAGTTTTATTAAAATTGGTTTTATAAAAATCAAAAAAAATATCGGTTAAACGAATATTTCTTTTTATTGGTGCACAAAATTAAAGTCACAAATAGAATCAAAACTTACTAATTTCATGTAGGTTGAACATTATTTTGTTACTATGATGATGAGATGATTTAGTAAGCTAACTTTTTTCTTTCATGGATACGTGAAGGACAATACAAACCATGGAGCAAAGATTGATGCAATAACCGGTAGAATAGAGCTAAAGAATATTGATTTCTATTATCCAAACCGGCCTAGTATTCCAGTGCTTCAACAGTTTTCCTTAGACATCAAGCCTGGGACAAGCATTGGATTGGTCGGTACATCAGGGTGCGGAAAGTCAACAGTGATCGCTTTGATCCAACGGTTCTATGACGTGGAGAAGGGTTGTGTGAAAATAGACGGCGTAGATTTGAGAGAAATAGATATAAAATGGTATAGAAAACATACTGCACTAGTGAGCCAAGAGCCAGTGGTTTATTCAGGAAGTATCCGAGAGAATATTTTGCTTGGACGGCCAGAAGCGGCTGAGGATGAGGTTGTGGAGGCTGCTAAAGCCGCCAATGCTCATGATTTCATCTCGTAAGTGTACTCTTCTTTTTAGTTCTAAACACAAGTCATAGAAATGAGTCGACAAGTATTTACATCCACATTATTTGTCGGTTAATACATCCGTTTCACTTTACTTCTTCTTATTTTAGGCTCTTACATACAGATTAAAAAATATTTAATTTTACATATTTTAAAGATAAAAACATAATTATCTATACACCTAACCACTTTTCAAAAAATAGAAAAATAGAATATCATATAAAGTTAATAAACTTTGACTCGAAACTCTAAAAAAATAATTAGTTTGAAACAAAATCTTTTCTCTAAAATGACAATTAATTCGAAAAGGAGGGAGTACTAATTTAGGGTTAGGGTTTTTTCATAAAGCGTACATTATATCCAAAACTATAATCAGTTCTGAATATAAGCAAATGAAACTTTGGTATATATTCCCAAAAATATAAAGAGTTTATTATATGCATAAACATATATCCTATAGTTATTGCTAAACTTGTCTATAGCCCCAAATTTCCATAACTAGCCATGTCCAAAACATATGATATGTGCATGTAATTGTTGAAAGACTTGAAATAATCTCATTGCCAGTTCTATTGTTAGTGATTTTTGTTGCTTTTGTTATTTTTTTGGTTTTTTTTTGGTATGAAGGGCAATGGAGAATGGATATGAAACGGAGTGTGGAGAAAGAGGAGTGCAACTATCAGGTGGTCAAAAACAGAGGCTAGCTATCGCTAGAGCCTTTCTTAGAAACCCTGTGATACTTCTACTTGACGAGGTTACGAGTTCCCTAGACTCTGACTCGGAGCAGGCTGTTCAGGAGGCTCTGGCTCAGATCATGGCTAGCCGGAAGATGACAACTGTAGTTGTGGCTCACCGCCTCAACACCCTAAAGAAACTGGACCGCATAGCGGTAATCGCCGATGGAACCGTAGTGGAAACAGGGAGTTACGACCGCTTGAAGAACATGGGAGGCCAGTTCTCTAGACTTCTCCATGCTCATGATCTCAAATCTTGATGAACTTTCTTTAGAATAAAAAGAGTATTGACTAAATAAAGCTACGTTGTAGTGTTTAATATGAAATTAAATACTAAGTGTAAAATATGTCACATAATATCCAATAATTTATACAAAAATCATTGTATAACCTCCGAATGTATAATAAAAAATCTTTAATCGAATTGGTTGGTCAATAGTTTATTTATCTTCAATTAGACATATCAAAGAGAAAATTTAGTAGATAAAACCATCGGATAGTAGTTTCGGAATTTTTAGTAAGTTTTCATATTAAACACTTCAACGTAATTTATTAGATAAAACTGAGGGAATAATAAAAGCTCTTTAATACTCTCTCCGTTTCATTTTAATTGTCATTTTAGATTTTTACACACAGATTAAGAAAACATTTAATTTTACATATTTTCAAAACAAAAACACAATTATCTATACACCTAACCACTTTTCAACCAACAGAAAAATATAATATCATATAAAATTAATAAATTTTGCCTCAAAAATTTAAAAAGACACTTATTTTGAAACGATATTTTCTCTCTAGAATGACAATTAATTCGAAACGGAGAGAGTAGTAATTTTGAATTTTTTAGTAAACTGAGGGAGGATAATTTTATATATAATATTATCCTCATTAACATGGAAAAAAAAAATTATAATTTTTCATTGAGAGACAAAAGTAAAAATTCCGAAACTAATATCTTCTAAAACACAGAGGGAGTATAAATTACAAAATTTCCGTTGTAATTTGTAAATTGATTATACTATTTTTAATAATTTTATACTCCCTCTTTTTTTACGAAGATAGTAATTTTAGAATTTTTAGCTTGAGAACCCTTTTAGTTTTGCATTTAAATACAATTTTTTTATTTTTTCTTTCTCATATTAATTCAGATAGTATTGCATATAATATTTTCCTTCAAATTTATTAAATATTGTTCTTTTTGATATTTTAGTTTTATTTTTAAAATGTGTGAAAATTTCAAAACTATAATCTTCGTGAAATAGAAAGAATAACATGATAAATGAGTATTAAAAATGCCACAATATATAAGAATTATCACCAAAAATATGTATATTCTTACAGATATCAAAACAACGTCGTATTGGAACAAAACCTATGAAACTAACTATTGGTGTAGCTATAGCCAACAAGCACCAGTAATAAAAGAGAACACATAGACCATAAACTTCTATCAAAAACATCTATGGCTACCGCTGCTCAGCTCTCCGGCCACTTTCACCGGCCAATCATCACCGCCATTGGAACTAATAATCAGCGTCATGTAACCACCACCCATTACCTCCCTATCCCACGGCGGCGCAACTTAACAACGTCTCGGTTGCGACCAATTATGAGTCTTCAAGTGGGCAAAGAAATGCCTCCGACATCAACGGTGGACATGGAACAGCTCGTTGGGTTCCTATACAAGGATCTTCCTCACCTTTTCGACGACCAAGGAATCGATCCGAAGGCGTACGATGAGCGCGTGAAGTTCAGAGACCCCATCACCAAGCACGATACTATAGCTGGATACCTCTTCAACATCTCTCTCTTGAAGAATCTGTTCACTCCTGATTTTCAACTTCACTGGGCAAAACAGGTCTTTGCTAAAGTTCTCAACTTTTACTCTGTTTCTGATGCAAATTTTAATACTTTACTCTGTTTCTGATGCAAAGTTGAACACTTTACTCTGTTTCTGATGCAAAGTTCAACACTTTACTCTGTTTCTGATGCAAAATTTAAGACTACTCTGTTTCTTATGCAAAGTTTAACACTTTACTCTGTTTCTGATGCAAAAAATTTAAACCTTTACTCTGTTTCTCATTGACTGTATAGTAGAAACAGAGGAGTTTGTTTATAAACAGAGGAAATGAAGTTAACCACTGATTAACAACCTCTCTAACTAGTTTTTTACACATTTAATACAAAATATATGCTTTTGCTACCATAAGGGATGATGCTAGGCTGATGCATCTGCTATAGACAGGTCCATATGAGATAACAACAAGATGGACTATGGTAATGAAATTCTCGCTATTACCGTGGAAACCAGAGCTTGTCTTCACAGGGTTATCAATCATGGCTGTTAATCCAGAAACTAAGAAATTTTGCAGCCATCTGGTATGTTTTTTGTTTCTTGTGAAAATCTTCTTTGTTGGTGCGGTCTACTTGTTAACATCTCCATGTGCAGGACTTGTGGGACTCTATCAATAACAATGACTACTTCTCTTTAGAAGGTCTTGTTGATGTATTTAAACAGGTGGCTTTTCTCATTTGCTTTCATGTCATGAACTAATCTCTTACAAGTGAGTTAATAGTTTACTCTTTTTTTTGGCAGTTACGGGTATATAAAACGCCTGATTTGGAAACTCCAAAGTACCAAATACTGAAAAGAACAGCAAACTATGAGGTCACATATCTTCTTCCTTTGTGGTTAAGATTGTATAGAAAATGTGATGCTAAGCCTGAAGTTTGATTGTAATTGTTTGGCAGGTGAGGAAGTATGAACCTTTCATAGTAGTTGAGACAAACGGTGACAAGCTTTCTGGCTCTTCAGGTTTCAACAATGTTGCTGGGTGAGAGTTGAAGCAATTTTTTTTGTAGTCCATAAACTCTTTTGGCAATGTTGTGATGATAAATGTTAACATATGAAGGTACATATTTGGGAAAAACGCGACGATGGAGAAAATACCAATGACAACACCAGTGTTTACCCAAGCAACAGATCCTGAACTCTCTTCAGTGTCAGTACAAATTGTTATTCCATCAGGAAAAGATCTCAGCAGGTAAAGGTTATAGATAGTTTAGTCGATGATGTGTAGTGAGTAAAAAGGTTGATTGTTTGGTTGCTTATCCTTATATATAGCTTACCGATGCCTAATGAAGAAAAGATAAACTTGAAGAAGATGGAAGGAGGTTTTGCTGCGGCAGTAAAGTTCAGTGGGAAACCGACAGAGGATGTTGTCCGTGAAAAAGAGAATGAACTGAGGAAGAGTTTGAGTAAAGATGGTCTTAAAGGCAAGACGGGTTGTATGCTTGCTCGTTACAATGATCCAGGACGAACATGGAAATTCATTATGGTAATGATTCCAAGCTCTAGTAGAATAATTGATTTCTAGCTAGAAACCATATGTTAACTCTTTTTATGACATGTAATCTGCTTTTGCATTTGCAGAGGAACGAAGTTATCATATGGCTTGAGGAATTCAACTTGGATTAGCAAACGTTACCAAAGTTACCATAATGTATGTAGAGATCACCACACTCAAAGAATAGAAAATTTGTATACTTTTTCATTTTGATTCAATAAAAAGTTGTAGACTTATGATACAGTATATATCTACTGGAATCTATGATCTCAAGAACAAAAAGAAAAAAGAGAACTTTGAATTGACTAGAAGGCAAAACGACGTCGCTTCGAGTTTATCCACTTACCAAAAGTACTCGGTAGTCCTACCCTTTTGTTTCCGTAAAGGACATCACTTTTCAGCCGACCAAACCAAGAAGAAGCAATGCAACTGTCACTGGTTCAAGCAGCTTCGGTGTCCTACTTAAGATCCCACTCAACGGTTCTTACTCTCTTCAAGCCTTCCTCTGGTTTACTTCTTAAAAAGTCAATCTTTCCTGATTCCAAGTTAACAACTTTCCAACGGATCTTTCGTTCCACGAAGAAAACATCAAATGGGTTTACTCGTGCTTCCTTGCTTGAGAGCCCTGTCTTGTGGGCTGGTCGAGTTTGTGTCTTTTACGCGCTCGTCAAAGCTGGTCTAGCTGGATCCAAGTCTAACCCCTTCGTTTCTGGTTAAACCTTCTCTATGGTTCTTCTGAAATGGGTTTTAGCTTCTATCGTTTCTTTGTTTTGATGTATTGATTAATCTCATCTCAGGGTTGGATAGTGGTGGTGTTGATGTTGAAGATGATGGTGCGGATCTTGGTTTCTCTAAGTGGATTCAGAACATTAAGGGCAAACCAGGTTTAGTTTCAACACTTACCCTGACTCATTCTTGTCATGTTGGATTTGTGTCCAAGTCTAGAAACTTCAAACTAATGAAATATATTCTCTGTAACATTTTTTTAGATTGATAGATGGATGGTTTAGTCAATGAATCTATCCAGCATAAATGTTGAGTATAAGACAGTCTTTTTTTATTTTAAATGCTCAGACAAGGATGCAGCTGATAAGAGGAAGCCGGTGAGCAAATGGCACCCAACGACAAAGGGAACACTTAGAAGGAACTACAGAGTACCTTCCAAAGGCGAAGGAAACCGTTTGCTCAAAGCCATTGCATCTCTTCTCTCAGATGATGACCACTTCAGGGATGCAACATCTCACAAGGTTAACAGTAATAAACACATTTAATAACCTGCACTTGTTTCTCTCTCACCAAACTGAGACACTACTGCAGGGTTGTCAAATACGGAGGGAGAGTGCGCACGGTCAAAGCGTATGTTGCAACAACGTGAGAGCTCTGTTTGATGAGTTACCGACGCCACATTTGGTGGTTGAGATCACACCTTTTCCAGCCGGTCCACTTACAGAGAATGATTACCTTAAGGCCGAGAAGCTGGAAAAGGTTCTTAAGTCAGGTCCCAATATTTGAACCCATCTGGCACTCAAGAGTGTGGGTTCCACTATGTGTCTAATTGCAAAACCTGTACATACTCACCATCTTTTGACGCTATCAAACTGTTAGCTTCTCGTCAAGCATATATAACTATCATTATCATGATTAAAGATCATTTTAAGGTACATACAAGTTTCAACATACTCTACCGTCTTCTGACAATGATTTCCTCAGGCCATCGGCAATTTTAACTATGCTAAGCTATCATCACATAAGACAACAACAACAACAAAAAATAAGCACAAAGCAATTTTCTCTGCCGATTTTCAATTTTACCATTAAAATCACAAAAGACGACCATTTATACAAGGAAAAGACAAAGCCAATGCTTTGAAACTTCTGTTGGGAAAATTATATCCAATGTTATCTCGTTTTCCTCAGTAATGCAAAAAAAAACACTTAAACTCATCATGCGTCACTAGGTGAAAAAGGATCATATACTTGATGCACACCTGGGTTGAACCGGTGTCGAATCTGTGGTTGGCCACTTGGGTTCAGGTTATCATTATGAAACACTGGTCTTGGAGGGAAATGAGCAGAACGCTGCGGGAATTGAGCTTCAGGGAAGTTCCTAGGCATCACCTGGGGCAATGGAGGTCCAAAATTCTGCAAGTTGGACGACCTCATGTTACCATGAAATGGTCCAGGCAGGTGGCTTAAGGGTTGATCCATCTGCCTCCCAAAGTGCTGTGATCTTGTGAAGCTTTGCCCAAAATGTTGGGAGGCTGGACTGACGGATGGGGCTCGAAATACTATAGGAGGGAGAAGAACTGATTGAGAGTTGGGTCTAGGAGATATAAGTGGTTGTGGATGGAAACCGAAATCCCCGTGAAATGGCCTTGGAGCAGAAGGCCTGCCAGCAGTATGTGCTGACATTGACATGGGACGCAGAGAACCACCAGAAGCATATTCTGTTAGGTGCTTCAGATTGATACTCGAGGGAAAGGGACCTGATGGTATTTCAGTACCCGGATGTAGACTGAGGTTAGGAGCCAGATGCCGTACTGACTGGGACATGTTGTTTGAGATTATGTCTGGCAACAGCGTTGGTCTAAATCCACTGCTAGGTACTGGTTGGAAAGTCGATAGAGTCGACGGCCTCATTGTAGATCGTGGTCCTGTTGATTGCGCCTGACTGACAGAATATGGAGGCGCAGTCGAAAAACCTGACTGTTGTTGAACTAACGATCCTTGTGGGGGAACCACGGAGTACGGCCTTGGTGTGCTGGAAAGGTTAAAGGAAAACAAATCTGGTGGACGAGGGACTTGAAAATCAGAACGTAGTGACGTGTTATGATGAATTGGAATTGGTTGCTGAGCAAAAAGAGGATTGGTTGGCTGTTCTTGATCCGGAATATGATTACCAAGACTTGCAGCAGAAGGATTAAGAGGTGGATGAAATGGAACTTGATGTGAAGCCAATGGTATAGAGGAACCAGGTTCTTCGAGTTGGGTTTGTGGTGGTTGTACAGAGGTTTCAGTTGGCTGTTCGGAGTTTGGGTCTGTAGCTGTCGCGTTGATGTTGCCTGGAACGGTTGAAACGTCTTCAGATTTAGAAGATGGAGGAGCAGCCTCAGCTCTTTTACTTTCCTACAAGGTTAGAATTATATAGTCTGAGACGTTAAATAACAAATGCTATATCATATTTCTAACTATCTTATAGAAGTTTTAGGACTCACAGACACTGAAGAGATAAGTAGCTCAATTACAGCAATAGCTGCATCCACTTTTTCGTAAGTCTCAGATGATATCTGAAAATGTAACTCTTCCCACGACGTCTGGATCTCATTTTCATCTGAAGGAGAGAGTTCAACCTGCATATATGAAGAAAAATCTATTTCATAAACCCTTGAAATGAGAATTTTCAAGGACAAGCATGGAGAGATAGAACAACAATAATGAGAGTCTGCTATGGTTATCTCGGAGATAGTTTATTCCAATGTTACCTTCTCTCCTCCTGGTTTAGTACCGAAAACTTGTACTTTGGCTCCAGTCTCCTGCTCCCATAATAATATTAATTAGCTCGTATACATTGTCAGATTGAATAATAATCAATTTTGTTAGGAAGCACGGAGGAATGTGAAAAAAGAGACACGGAAGTCTGTTAACATAAGGCAGATATGGAACTGTAGCAGCGAATAGTAGCCATGATATTTGTAGAAGACTTACTTTTTCGAGCTGTTTTAGAGTATCACCTTGGGAACCAAATATGAGACTTAGAAAGCTAAAATCAGAATGTTCTTTGACCTGTAAAAACATAATCCAAAAGCTGACTTTGTTACGTGGCTCTAAGAAAACAGAAACTAGAAAGCGAATAACTTTTCAATGCTCTCTCAAGTTACCGCATGAGTCATCTCTAAAACAAATCTACAAGACTATCTATCTTCTGTGAGGTAGTAAGGTTCAACAACTCTCCAAGACTTAAACATGAGACCACACAAAATGCAAGATTTGATAAAGCTTTAAACCCCTCAAGCCAAGTTAAAACTTACATCAATAGGCAATCTAGCTTCTTTCATCAACGGCTTATAGTCAGGTGGAGCCTTGAACCTCGGATTCAACTCAAGTATCTCCCCTATAATTAAAAAACGCTCCATATCACTCAAGGGAAAATCCAACACGAAGATACAATAAAGGAAACTTCAAACATACCAATTGCTTCACGTTTCTCTAACTCCAAATGCTCAGCAATCTTGATCCATCATGGAAGAACAAAACACTCATCTTTACACAGCTAAACAAACAAAAAAAACAAAAAGAAGAAAAAAGTGATGAAACATCACTCACATCTCCTTTGGTTTCTCCATTACTCTCAGCTTCATGAGTTCCTGATTCCAACTGCTCTCTAATTTGATCCAAACGTTTCTGCTCAAAAGAAAACAAACACACAAGACTCGTTCTTAAGCAATTCAACATACTCACAGTAATAAACAGCTTCGAGTCTAAACCCTAATAAAAGCTAAAACTCTAATCCTTCTTGAGCAATACATTGGATTCTAACCTGATAAGCCAAGACTCTGCTCTTCTTGACTGCAACGTCTTGTGTCAAATCAGGTCCCCACTTACTCTTCCTCTTCCCTAGCTTCGTGACCGTTCCGTTATCCTTACCGGCGGCGCCTCCGCCGCCGCCGCGTTGAAAAATCGGGATCAATGATCCGGATAACTTGTTTTTAGGGATTACGAATCCGGACTTGGCACCGAACATTGAGATCTTCGTCGGGGCGCTAGTAGTAGTAGATGATGCCATCGGCGAAGGTGAAATTCGCGGCGGAGGTTGTTTCCCGTCGATCTGAGAAATCACGTTAGCGGTTGTTATTGGTTCGTTTTAAGGGTTTTGATGAAGAAAGGGCGTTATGTTTTTTATTAATTAATCATATTTTCTGATGTATATTATAAAGTCAGTTAAAATAAACAGGATGTTTAGTTTGCGTTCATGGCATTGCCTTGTAATTATTAGTTTGCGTTCTCCTCTCCTGACTTCTCTATTTGATCTGTAGCTAATAGGTAATAGCTATCAAGTTGGGAAAAGGGCCTATTCCTCCCCAAACAATTTCAATCGTGCCAAATACACCATGAACAAACATTCAGTGCCAAATACAACTTGAACTATGTTACAATTCACAAATACTACCTGAACTTTTTAAAACGTGTCTAAACCTACATTGACCGTAACAGAAGTTAGTCAATCATTAAAATGATAAAACGACGTCGGGTCTATTCCTACCCAAACAAATTCAATCGTGCCAAATACAACCCGAACAAACATCCAGTGCCAAATACGACCTAAACTATGTTATAATTCAAAAATACTACCTGAACTTTTTAAAACGTGCCTAAACCTACATTGACCGTAACAGAAGTTAGTCAACCGTTAAAATTGATAAAACGATGTCGTTTCGATTTCATTATTTTTTAAAAAATATGAAGATTCCGGGATTCGAACTCGGGCCTTGCCACTATTTAAAACAAACAGATCAACCACTAGAATAAAGCAATTTTTTTAAATAGTACTACAAATTTGCAATTATATATGCTTTTATAGTTTTTCATCTTCTCTAATTAAAACTTTGCTTATTATTATTTTTGACTCTTATTAATATATTAACAGATTTAATAAACTTATAAATACTAATTTCTTTTGTTTCTTAAAATTAATATAAGCTGAATATACTTTACCAAAATAAAATAAATTACCATTAAGTTTTATTTTTAAAATAATTTATATATGGACATTTTGTAAATAGTTGAAAAACATGAAATATATTTAATTTTGTATGATTATAAATATTTTATTATTTATATTTTAGNTCTTTTGTTTCTTAAAATTAATATAAGCTGAATATACTTTACCAAAATAAAATAAATTACCATTAAGTTTTATTTTTAAAATAATTTATATATGGACATTTTGTAAATAGTTGAAAAACATGAAATATATTTAATTTTGTATGATTATAAATATTTTATTATTTATATTTTAGTATAATATAAGTTTATTGAAGATATATTAATTACAAAATATGTTAATATATTTATAAGAATCGGAAATAATAATAACAAAAGTTTTAATTAGAGAAGATTAAAAAGTATAGTAGCATATATAATTGCAAATTTGTAATATTTTTTAAAAAAACTGTTTTAGTCTAGTGGTTGATGTGTATGTTTTAAATAGTGACATAACTCGGGTTTGAGTCCCGGAATGTTCATTTTTAATAATAGAATCAAAACGACGTCGTTTTATCATTTTAACGGTTCACTAACTTCTATTACGATCAATGTAGGTTTAGGCACGTTTCAAAAAGTTCAGGTAGTATTTTTGCATTATAACGTAGTTCAGGTCGTATTTGGCACTGGATGTTTGTTCGGGTTGTATTTGGCACGATTGAAATTGTTTGGGTAGGCATACGCCCTTTTCCCGACGTCGGTTTATCATTTTAACGGTTGACTAACTTCTGTTACGGTCAATGTAGGCTTAGGCACGTTTTAAAAAGTTCAGGTAGTATTTTTGCATTATAACGTAGTTCAGGTCGTATTTGGCACTGAAAATTTGTTCGGGTTGTATTTGGCACGATTGAAATTGTTCGGGTAGAAATATGCCCTTTTCCCCTATCAAGTTAGTGTATTCTGCTACTACAAAATGATATTGGGCTATTTTGTTAAAAAGGCTTTCATAATGGGCCACTTTGTATAAATTTTGTTTTTGGGTTTATGTTTTTTCTTTTTTTCTTTTCTGAACAATTTGTTTTTTTTTTCTGAACAATTTTTTTTTTATGTATATGTTTATTTTCGGGTTTGGATTTGGGTTTATGTATATGTTTGTTTTTGGGTTTATGTATATGTTGTCCTATCCATTTGGATTGAGTTTATGTATTGAATCTATAATTTGAAGTGATTTAATTTTAATGGGATTTTAGATGATTGTAAGAGAATTTGAGATTTATGTGATTTTTGTTAAATAACTCTAGAATCTCATCTAAAATTATGAAATTTGGATTTTTATTTTTATAACTAACAAACTCATTTTAAACACTTTAAAAACACTTAAATCTCTCTAAAATCTCCAATTTAAATTTTGTTCAAGAACAGTAGATTTCAAAACGTTTTGTGAAATGACAAGTTCAATAAACATTAGGTTTTAAAGTGTTTTTAAAATGCACATTTGAATAATACTAAATTTGTCATTTTAATACAAATAAACATCGTACTCCTAATTGAATACATCTCCCTAAAAGACAAACAAATTCAATCGTTCGATGATTTCACGTTCCTTCTAAATTTGCTTCGTACTTGGTTTGTTAACAATGCGTCATCACCTCCACTCGACACAAACCGATGCATGTCCGTATACTACAAAGTAGACACAACCCCAACGTTCCAAAAGAAAATGACATTCGATGATAAATGTTACTGAAGGATAAAAATGATTGGAGATGAGGAAAGGCTCTTGGTGGTGGCAGTGACTTACCCATAAAGCCGCCTAATACTTTTGGGACCCCATTGCTAAAGCCACGTGACCACGATTCCACCGCCAGCTCGCACTGTCCATCCTCGTGGACCCTTCCCTAAAAGTCTTCCTTTGCTTCTTTTTCCCCCTTATATTATTCTGCGCATTATACTTTCAAAAAAAAAGAAAAGAAAATGAACCTTTTTGTCAACGACTGTGTCCACTAATTCTTTTTCTTGAATTTAATGTCAAAGTTTGAATCAACTATATGTTTACTTGTACATCTAACATTTTTAATATCACTTGTAGTTGTCAAGAACAATGCCGTTGTAGACTTGTAGTGTCAATGCTCTCATCTTCCCATCAACATATGGAAAGAATATCATGGCCGTCTTTGCTTCAGGATTACGTCAACGTCACCAACCCTTGCGTTTTCTTTGTGGCGGTGTATGTTTTTCTTATCTCACAATTATCTAATTGCAAACCTGAACATAAACAATGTAGAATTTGGATGTAACCGTTTAACCTAAACTTTAGACTTAGTCAGTTAAACATAATTCTATACATAGAAAGTTGATACTCAGAGCAAAGCTGGCAGATTCAAGGAAGTCTAACTCAATAATTATAGCCAAAGATGATAAGATGAGTGTACTTGGAGTTTAGGTAAGCAGCATCATTGCCCTTTCTATGGCAGGAAAAAAAATCTAACTCAAAATCAAACCATAAAAACCCATGTAATAAATCACCCCCACACTATTAAAGAGTATGCATATGAATGTTGGTACTATGAAAATGTATAAAAAAGTTGATACAATACAATTAAACAATGATTCAAGAATATTTTAAATATAATAAAATAGAAACAGTAATAATATTTTATTTTGTAATCTCTACTACCCCTGGGCAAAAAAACCAGAGCCAAAAAACCGAACTGAAATATCGAAACCAAAACCAGACTGAAATTTTAAAATATCTGAATGATTCCTATATTTCTACACCCGAAAAACCGAACCGAACCGAATTAAGAACCGAACGGATACCCGAATATCCAAAAATCATTATACCTCAGCAATTGGTCTTATCTAACTTTATTTTTCAGATAGCTATGTTAATCCTCTTATACTTTTCTAAATGATCTTTACTAGCTATTGCACGATCTATTTTACTCAAAATGAAGAGGCAGAACCTAAAGCTCTTTGTGACATAAATAGCTAGCATAATTTGGTATGTCAATAATATAGACAACCACTAATAAATAGCTAGGCTAATGGTGGCACATGGAATAAAGTAAAAACCATTCTGATCTCATTTCTCCACTTCTTCTTGTCAGAAAACTCTTTCTCTCCTCTACAGAAAGAAAGACACTGAAGAAGGGTAAAACGGGAAAGAGTAAAAGTAAAGTCACGTCGATCCGTTTTGGTCTGAGAGAGACAGTAAAAGCAAAGGAGTGAAGCCTACGGGAAGATAAAAAAGGTTATTGTCGTTGCAGTTAAGCTCTCTCTCGCTAAGTCTTTTCAGTCTTTCATAATTCCATTTTTACCCCTCTTTCTCTCTCAAAAAAACACACATCATCAAACCATACATTTGTCTGCTCTCTTCTTTTCTTCTTCTTACTTCTTCTGCTTCACACACACATTCTCTCTCTCTCTTTCTCGATTTTCAAGATCACTCTTTCATTAAATGGAGTCAGATGATTGTTCTGTTAAAGTTGCTGTCCACATCAGACCGCTCATCGGCGATGAACGGCTTCAAGGTTGTAAAGATTGTGTCACTGTCGTTTCCGGTAAACCACAGGTACTTGTTTTTTTTTTCTAGCTTCTGACAATGTCACAGCTTTCTGTCTGTGTTCTTAATCTGTTCTTTCCAAAAAAAAGTTTCTTTCTTTTTATAAAATTATTTCTAAAGTGATTAGCTTTTTTTTCTCATCGGAACTGTGTCCCTCCCTGAGATCTAGATCTTGCAGAAGTTTAGAATCAGTGAAGTTTCTTTCTTTCTCTTTCTTATGCATGTTTGACTTAGTCTTTTCTGTTTCTTTAATGACAACTATTAGAATTATTACATCTTTTAACTTATGTCCTTAATTAAGTTTGGTCACAAGATCAAATTGTTTTGACACAACAGATAAGGTTTTTGCTGTCATTTGCTTGAATATATGAACTGTCAAATCCAAACAATTAAGCAATCTCTAATGTTTATCTGTTGGGAGTGTTGGGTTTTTAGATATAGTCAAAAAAGTATATGGCTTTGAATGTAATAATAATTAAATGTTTTCTCATTTTGGATTGTGTTTTGTGTGAATATGATTGATACAGGTACAAATTGGATCACACTCCTTTACTTTCGATCATGTATATGGAAGCTCTGGCTCTCCATCTACTGAAATGTATCAAGAATGTGCTGCACCGCTTGTTGACGGTTTATTCCAAGGCTACAATGCTACGGTTTTAGCTTATGGGCAGACGGGTTCCGGTAAAACATACACAATGGGCACTGGCTACGGAGACAGCAGCCAAACAGGAGGGATCGTACCTCAAGTTATGAACTCTCTTTTCACCAAGATCGAGACTCTCAAGGATCATATCGAGTTTCAAATCCACGTTTCTTTCATCGAGGTTGGTTTCAAACATAGCTGAACTCTTTTTTTTTTTGTTTTGTAACATGACTATTTAATGATCTTATTTTTTTAATTTGGTAGATTCATAAAGAAGAGGTGCAAGATTTGCTGGATCCTTCCAACACTACTAACAAGTCAGACATTACTAGTAATGGCAAGGTAGCACATGTCCCTGGGAAGCCACCAATACAGATCCGAGAATCATCAACTGGTGTTATCACATTAGCAGGATCCACGGAAGTAAGTGTCACTACTCTCAAAGAGATGGCTGCTTGCCTAGATCAAGGCTCGGTTAGTAGAGCTACTGGTAGTACTAACATGAACAATCAGTCAAGGTGACTTATAATAAACTTGTGTTGTTATATAAGTGCAAATCATTACAAGTCTATTGTTTCATTTCTTGTATCGTTTATGCAGTCGTTCACATGCCATTTTCACTATCACTGTGGAGCAAATGCGCAAGATTAATACAGATTCTCCTGAAAACGGTGGGATCTTGAAAGAAGAGTATCTGTGTGCGAAGTTGCACCTAGTAGACCTCGCTGGTTCAGAACGAGCCAAAAGAACTGGCTCTGATGGTATGAGATTTAAAGAAGGTAAGCGTCATTTTGTCCTAAGGCCAGTAATAAAGCTTTGTTTGATCAGTGTGCTGTAATGGAAGTTGTTTCTTTTTTCACCAGGGGTACACATAAATAAAGGCCTCCTTGCGCTTGGTAATGTCATCAGTGCGCTTGGAGATGAGAAAAAGCGTAAAGATGGTGCTCATGTTCCTTACAGAGACAGTAAACTTACACGGCTTTTGCAGGTATTATTTGTTTTTTCAAAATATCACATTGCCTCAGTGTTTGCTCCGTTCTCAAAACCTGTGCATGTTAAAACTCTATAGGATTCCCTTGGAGGCAACAGCAGAACTGTAATGATAGGTAACCTTCAGGATTCTGCTTTTAAGCCCTATACAGTCGTTTCATATCTCTAATGCTTGCTGTTCGGGTTACAGCTTGCATCAGTCCTGCAGATATTAATGCGGAGGAAACACTTAACACTCTTAAATATGCAAACCGTGCTCGAAACATCCGGAACAAACCTGTTGTAAGCTATTAGGATATGTCATTGTCAAAAGATAAGACTAATTCTGACTGAAGTTTGATTACTTTAATATTCCTTATATGTTTTAAAACAGGTTAATAGAGATCCTGTGTCCAGTGAGATGCTAAAAATGCGCCAACAGCTTGAATACATGCAAGCAGAGCTCTCTTTACGGAATGGAGGATCCTCATGTGCAGAGCTTCAGGTATGTTGGACCTTGGTGTATGGTTTATTAATTGGGAATTCAGGTATAGAAGTTAAGAATGAGTGTGATGATGTAGGTTCTAAAGGAAAGGATTGCTTCCCTTGAAACTGCTAATGAGAACCTTTGCCGAGAACTTCATGAGTACCGAAGCAGATGTGGTGGTGTAGAGCCTTCTGAAAAAGATTTTAAAGACATACAAGCTGTAGTAGTTTCTAACTTGCACATTGTTCAAATATATGTGGATACCATGTCTGTTTATTGTTATGAAGTGTTGAACTATTTGGTGACAGGATGAAATCGTGGGTTCTGTCAGACCAGATGGGCTAAAAAGGAGCTTGCACAGTATAGAGTCGTCTAATTATCCCATGGCTGAAGCCACGATAGGTAATAAATAAAGATTCAAAGCAGTTCTAAAACTAAAAAGACATCAATGTTATTGAAGAAGAGAGTTTTGTAATATACGCAGGTGATTCAAGGGAAGTAGATGAAGAGGCAAAGGAGTGGGAGCACAAGCTCTTGCAAAACAGTATGGACAAAGAGTTGCATGAACTGAACCGTCGTCTAGAGGAAAAAGAGGTCTCTTTTACTTGTTATTTTATGAACTGAAGTTTCCTAGAGGGGTTGAGATCTGTTCTTGTTCAATAACTACATAATCTATGTATGAAAACAGTCTGAAATGAAGCTTTTTGACGGCTATGATCTGGCGGCGCTAAAGCAACATTTTGGAAAGAAAATTGCGGAGGTGGAGGATGAAAAGAGATCTGTTCAGGTGGAATATAATTTACATATGATACTCTCATGTTTTGTTTAAAAAAACATAGAACGAGTTGTGGAACTGTTGTTTTTGTCTTTTCTTTCAGGAAGAGAGAAACCGTTTGATGGCTGAAATTGAGAACCTTGCTTCTGATGGTCAAGCACAGAAGTTGCAAGATGTGCATGCTCAGAATCTTAAATCCCTTGAAGCACAGATTCAAGACCTTAAGAAAAAGCAAGAGAACCAGGTTCAGCTACTGAAGCAGAAGCAAAAGAGTGATGACGCGGCTAAGAGGTTACAGGATGAAATCCAGTCCATTAAGGCACAAAAGGTATAAATATGATGCACACATTTCATATCTTCTCTTTGAAAATTCATTTGTTTGATTATATTTCTTGGGTTTTATAGGTCCAGCTGCAGCATAGAATGAAACAAGAAGCAGAACAGTTTCGACAGTGGAAAGCCTCCCGGGAGAAGGAACTTTTGCAGGTTTCTTTGCCTAAAAGTCCTTTAAACATTTCTTCCACAAGAATTGTTCTATCAAATAATCTTTGACTCTAACTGTACTTTAACACAGTTACGGAAAGAAGGGAGAAAGAGCGAGTATGAAAGGCATAAGCTGCAAGCTTTGAATCAGCGCCAGAAAATGGTATGCACAAGATCCATACCATGTTAATTTTGAGAGTTTGGACCTTGAGTAAAACTCCATGGTCTCTGAAAGATTATTAAACAAACTATAAAGAAGATTCAGGTGTGAGATTAAGGAAAATTTGCACTCTCAGGTTCTACAGAGGAAGACAGAAGAGGCTGCGATGGCGACCAAGAGGTTAAAAGAGTTGTTGGAAGCTCGGAAATCTTCTTCTCGTGAAAACTCAGGTATGACTTTTAGTTGAACACTTCAAATGATTTTACATGGAACCATGTCACTGTGTAATTAGCTGGCTGAGATTCTAAGTAAAACACTGTTTATGCAGGTGGTACAAATGGCTTTGGAACAAATGTTCAGGTGCGGATTGACCATAGTCACTTCTTTACTTATCATTGTGATTCTTTAGAAATCTAATTCACAGTTCGTACTCCTTTAGACCAATGAGAAGTCGTTGCAGCGCTGGCTAGATCATGAGCTGGAAGTCATGGTGAATGTGCATGAAGTACGTCATGAGTACGAGAAACAAAGCCATGTGTATGTCCCCCGACCTTTGCCAATAATTTTATCATCGCATAGACCGTTGACTTACTGATTATCCATGTGATGAATAATAATTTCAGACGAGCTGCTCTAGCGGAAGAGTTGGCTGTGCTAAGACAAGTGGATGAGTTTGCAGTGAAAGGGCTAAGTCCTCCAAGAGGAAAGAATGGCTTTGCTAGGTACCTTCTTTTTCTCACATGAATTTTCATTTGCTCTGGTCTTTATTAACAAGTTCTGTTTTGCAGGGCATCATCGTTGTCACCTAATGCAAGGATGGCGAGAATATCTTCACTTGAGAACATGCTAGGGATATCTTCTAACTCTCTAGTAGCAATGGCTTCACAACTTTCTGAGGCAGAAGAACGTGAGCGTGCCTTTACAAGCCGTGGCCGTTGGAACCAGTTAAGGTCAATGGGAGAGGCAAAGAACTTGCTTCAATATATGTTCAACTCTCTTGCGGAAACAAGGTACCTTTAGTTTCCAAGTGACACACCTTCAGCATCAAAGAACATCCATTTCAGCATTATAGTTAAATCTTTTCTCTTCTTTATCCATCATGCAGGTGTCAATTATGGGAGAAAGATGTAGAAATAAAAGAAATGAAAGATCAGTTCAAAGAAATTGTTGGCCTTCTGAGGCAGAGTGAGCTGAGAAGGAAAGAAGCTGAAAAGGAGCTTAAGTTAAGGGAGCAGGCACATGCCACTTCCTTAGCTTCATCTCCACTTGTAAAGACTATACCATTTTAATCCATATTTGTAGATTAGTTTTGCTTAGTGACATAACGCATGAAAAAATAAAATGTTGGTATAGGGAACCCCACCGAGCTCAGTGAAACACTTAGCTGAAGACCTGAGCGCACCTTCTCCAATGACTGTGCCAGCACAGAAACAGCTCAAATTCAGTCCGGGGATTGCTAACGGGAAAGTGAAAGACTCAGCTGCATTTATCAATGCAAACAAGAAGGTATAATTCATTTTATTCTTATGATGGAGCAATGAAGTTACAGGCTTCACTATTAGTATCTAAACTTTTTGCTTGGTGCAGATGGTACCAATGGGACAAGTATCTATGAGGAAACTATCAGCCATAGGACATCAGAGTGGGAGACTTTGGAGGTGGAAGAGAAGTCATCACCAGTGGATTGTCCAATTCAAATGGAAGTGGCAAAAGCCATGGAGGCTTTCTGAGTGGATTAGGCACAGTGATGAAACACTTCTCAAGGCTAAACATCGACATAAGGCTCTCCCTAAGAAGATAATGTGATCAAGTCACTTGCCGTTTTCCAAGAGATATCTTTTTTAAGTTTTCAAGCTCTCTCTACCTGTGAGTATGAGACTTTTATGGAAAGGAGCAGAGGCCGGACTTGCTGCCGAGAAGCACCAGGACAAGCATGCGGATGCTTCTCATTACTTGCGGTAGGTAACAGATAGCATACGGCTTTTTAGGAGTCAGATTGTTCTTTTTTTTTCTATGTTGATAGAATTAACATATTATATACATCCACTAAAGAAGCTCATGAAGGAAATAAAACCTCATCTCCAAGTTGCAGATATTAATTGTATAAGAACTTCCCAGTTTGTTTGTTCTTATGGTTTTGTTGTAAATGATAAAATAACTATTTAGTGTTCAGTTTTGTGAAACGAGAGTAAGCAGAAACAAAGATCCAGAGAGACATCATTCAATGTTTTTTCTTGAAGCTTTTATTGATAAGCATCAGAAACATTACAAGTCTAGGATGATAATGTATGAGATAGATTCTGTAAGTATTACACATCTCCCATTGCATTCAAAGATCAACAACAACAATTAACAACCAGATATCAACAGGTAGCTTCTCATGTCATGCTCAACAAAAAAAAAGCATCCATGTCTCACATATTGCTACACCAGTACGCATAGTGTTCATCTCTCCTATGTGTGCTCACCAGACCACCGCATTGCAAACAGATAAAGCTGCTTCCATCAGCAAATGCATCAAGCATGATCTGCGACCTCCCGCTCTTTTCCAGAATAGATACGCCACGAGCATCCGTTGTAACTCTTTCCCTGGTACCAAATAAGTCTGTTGATGTCGGCTCGCGCCCAAGAGGCTGTGCCTCTGTAATAGCACACTCTGCAAATATAGAAGCCAGCTGATCCACACTAGCTGTTTCTTGGATTCTGCGCTTGTAAAGTTCACGGGTACGGTTGAGTATATGAAGTACCGCCTCATCTCCTCCTTGGGTTCTCATTGCCATCACAACCTGTTCAGGAAAAGGTAGACTGACTCATGAAAGAGAAGCAAAGAAAAAAGTCAATGCAGACCATATACATAAAGTCAACGATGTATCAAATCATGATATCTACTCACAGCCAACCATAATTCAACAAGGAAATGATAACACTTTTTAAACATTCTGGAAATCTAGAAGAAGATAAAAAAAACAGAACTGCATAACAATGTAATAACTCGACTTATAGTCAGACAATCTTTGTAATAAGAGGGGATGTTACTTCTACAATTCTAAAACTTTGTTAATTTGAGATTCTATCAAGAAACGTTTCGTTCTTCAAATGGTTTTAACAACACTAAATAACATTGGATAACTAAGGATATATATAAGCTAATTTCGCAAGTAAGAATCAACGAAACCCTAATCAAAGTTTTATCGAAACAACTTCCTCTTTTATTTTGTGAAATGAAACAAAACCGTCAACACATCCGAAGAAGAATGTTTACAATTGAAAAAGGTAGAAGGAAAGGGAGAGTACCGCTTGGAGAGCTTGAGATGGCTGGCCTTGTTCGACGAGCCTCCGAGCGGCGGAGAGGAAATCATCCCTGGCGGTGGAGGGCTTGTCAACAACGAAAGCATCCATCATCTCCGCCTCGGAATCAGCGTTCATTGTGTAATGCATCTGTGTAAGAAAACAGGGGAGAATCGAAGGGAGAGAAAAAGAGAAGAGTGATGAATGATGATGATGAATGAACGCGAGAAGATTCTATTTTCTAATTTCCTCGTACACACCAATTCGGTTTTCAAATTGATTATTTGGTTTAGTATTAACGGACCGGCTTAACCGGATTTTTTTTCCTCTTCAATCTAGGCCTGTTCAATCTGGTGTTCGGTCCGGTTTCGGTTCGGTTTTTCTTGGTTTTCGGTTATTCGGTTTATAAAAATTAGCTATCATATTGGAATTATATTTAATTTGGTTTGGTTCGGTATTTATACTACTGGTTTTCGGTTTATTCGGTTTTATACCAAATAACATTATTATTTGATTTGGTTTCATATTATGCGAAGTTAAAAAAAAAACATATTGTCAAAACTATCATTTATTAAAATAATTCTAGGTATTCATAAATATAAAAATATGACAATAACAACAAATAGAACGACCAACGATTCATTTTTGTACAGTTTTTCTTATTTTCTCTTTGTTCTTCCAAATAAATTACATGATACAATCTAATTTCACATTTTTTACAACATGCAAAACAAATCAAATTTAGATAATAGTTGAAGAAAATAAAAAAAAAATTCTTAAGATATATCTTCACAAGGAATAAAAAAGTAAAAAAAAAGAACTATTCCAAGAAAACAAATAGTTATATAATGTATATATTTCTATTTTTTTCTTTGATCGGTTTTGTTCGGTTTAATCTGTTATAAAGCTAACCATATCCAAATCCTACGGTTTTTATAAAATCATATCCATTCGATTTATATGATATATACCAAATCTAAACTATATTGTGCATTTCGATTCGGTATTACCATATTGAACAACCCTTCTACCACTTACTTCCTTACGGTATTGACTTAACCAGATTCAATTTTACGGTTTGATTCACAGTGTTGAGGGACATCACCTCCAATGTACATCCTCCTCACCACTCAATCTCCTATACCCACTAAAATATCTTATACCCATATTTTATAATTTTTTTTGATCAAAACTTAAACCCCCAACCATTCTACCACTTACTTCCTTACGGTATTGACTTAACCGGATTCAATTTTACGGTTTGATTCACAGTGTTGAGGGACATCACCTCCAATGTCCATCCTCCTCACCACTCAATCTCCTATACCCACTAAAATCTCCTATACCCATATTTCATAATTTTTTTTATCAAAACTTAAACCCCCAAATTAAATCATCTCCGGTGTTCAAAACTAAACAAACCCCCCTCCCCCAATGGATGGGTGAACCCATGGACAAATATTTAAATTCTACAGTTTTCAAATTCGAAAAAATATATTTTAAAATCGTTTTTCAAATGAAAAAACGTTTTTTGATATTTGAAATAATTTTATCAAATTTTATAAATCAAATAAAAAATATTCACGTTTTAAGTTTAATTTTATGTTTTTTCGTTGAACATATAAAATTAAAAGAAGAAAGTGTCTAAGAGAGATTAAAGATATAGATGGGTGGGTATGGGGATGATCCCCCCAGTGTTGAAGATCCCCTCTTTAATCCACCACCCCACCAAGCACAAGCTACTTCCTTGCGAAAGCCTCGTGAGAGAGAAGGACGGAGACATGGCGGGCTGTGTGAACTATATTTCTCCGCACGCGACTCTCTGCTCGCCACGTGCCTCTCTATCCCTCTCCTTTTCCGGAGATGCCGCGCATTCTCTTTACCGGGAACCAACCAAACTCCTCCGTCCAATCATCTCCCCCAGATTTCAGGTAATCGTAGTTTTTTTTTCTTAGCTCCAAATTTTTGAATGTGAGATGTTAATTTTTGGGATTTCATCTCCTTCAGGTTGTAGCGGCTGAAAAAGCTGAGCCGCCGCCGCCGCCTCTGAAAATAATGATATCAGGAGCTCCTGCTTCGGGTAAAGGTACACAATGCCAGCTCATCACTCAGAAAGTGAGTAAGCTCTTCTTTTTTACTTAAAATTCATTTTTTAACAACTCTCTATCTACTATATGAATTTGATTCTAGTCTGATTGTTTCATGATGGCAAAGCATTTACTAATCCACTTCAGTTGTTTAGTTTTAGGTGGAACCTCTTATATTATATGGTTTGGAATCACTTTTTGTATAGTGAGGATTGTTGTTTAATAGACTTGTTGTATATGTATTCTTCATCATCATCATCATCATCATTGAGAATAATATAACTTTACAATCTTGTGGAATATTTTAGTTTTGTTGCAAGTGTAGTTTGTTTGATAGGTAAAAAAACCATATTTTAGCTTCTGTTTCCGTGGAAAGACTTACATGTTTGTTTTTCTGATGGTTCATTTTTAAATAAAAATTATTACCTCTTTTTTTGTAGTATAATTTGGTGCATATCTCTGCTGGAGATTTGCTGAGAGCTGAAATCGTTTCCGGGAGTGAGAACGGAAGACGGGCAAAAGAATGTATGGAGAGAGGACAGTTGGTCCCTGATGAAATAGTTGTGATGATGGTCAAAGATCGTTTATCACAGACGGATTCTGAGCAAAACGGATGGCTTTTAGATGGGTATCCTAGAAGCTCATCTCAGGCTACAGCTCTTATGGGATTTGGATTCCACCCTGATCTATTTATTGTCCTTGAAGTAGGCACTTTTTCTTTATCTTTCGTCTTCTACAACTTGCTGGATTAGAGTTATGTTCGTTAGTTCAAAGCAATTAAGTTTTGAATTTAGCCAAAGTCCAGACTACTAATAATGAACTAGGTCCATTGCTTCTATCACATTGATTTGATTCTTGTATCCCTGTAAATGGAGATGGGATCGTTTGATTTACGCCTGCTATGCTTTTTGAGACAGGTTCCTGAAGATATTCTAGTTGAAAGAGTTGTTGGACGTAGACTGGATCCTGTCACGGGAAAGATCTACCACTTGAAGTATTCTCCTCCAGAGACAGAAGAGATCGCTGCTAGACTCACCCAACGTTTTGATGATACGGAAGAGAAGGCAAGCCAAAACGTCTTTTATATGTTTCTGTGTTTCTCGAAAGTTTTCTATTCAATCATTATTTCTCAGATATGGACTCACTCTTTGTACAATTCATTCTCTGATCATTTTTTGTTCCTTTGATGTTAGGTAAAACTGCGGCTGAAGACTCATAACCAAAATGTGAGCGATGTGCTTTCTATGTACGACGATATTACTATCAAGGCATGAGATCTTATTCACCCTTTCCATTTCGATTTTTGCACTCTGTTCATTAACGAGAGTCTCATGAGGCAAAATGGTGCTTTGTTTATTATCATCCAGATAAAAGGAAACTGTCCGAAGGAGGAAGTGTTTACCCAGATCGATACGGCTCTATCTGAAATGCTTCAACAGAGGAATACAGCTCCGAGTTCACATTTAAGTTGAATCATTCTTGGTACGGACCTGAGGAAGTGTTTTGACCAGATCGATGCTGCTCTGTCCGAAATGCTTCAACAAAGGGAACACTGCTTCATGTTAAGCTGAATCATTTTTGGCGCGGGCCTAACCAGCGGTAAATATATTTCCTCTCGCATTTATCACTCACTTGTTTCCAGTAAGATGATATATGTCTGTATACCTGAATCCTCAGAAATATTTTACCTTCTGCTTTATATTCTCTGTAGATTTACTGAAAAATTGTGTTTCTCTTGTTGCAATCATGAAGATTGACACATTTTTTGTACTTATAACGATCTCTGCTGCTTCAGCTACAATTAACTCATGTCACAGATTCTATTTCTACAGCATCTATCACTGCCCTTGAGACAGCGCTAACCACCTCAAATATTTTAACATTATTTTCTCAAATAACCCAGTCTCCAAAGAAGCTGCAAAGGCTCCCATCAACTCAACCACTAACGAGACTCTTCATGCTATAACTAATACCTCTTCCGGTTACATATTAAAATTCCACAACTAATTCCTCACCACACACAAGTAAGGAGAAAGACATGTGAAGGCAACACAAAAAGGTCGAAGAGCATTTAATACTGTTAGTAGGCGCCGTTGAGTTCAAACAACTTTCTTAAACTCTATAGAAGCCATACAAAAGAACATGCAGTTTAGAAGACGAAGAAAGACACTACCAAATTGTATTGTAAGTAGTGAAGATTTGTGGTACAAAAAAAAAAAAAAAAGTAGTGTGGATTTATTTAAAGCAAATTTAGCTCACTATCTGCTTATTTTTTGCAAATTATAATTATTTAATATTTACAAAAAGAGCCAATATTGTATTTTTTTAATATTTTACTTATGGATGATCACACATTATTTGCGCTTAGCAGCTAGCTAACAAGAGGCTGTTACAGTCATAGAAGTCGGATACGTACACGACTCCGATTTAAAAAAAAAACAAAAACAAAAAAAACAAATCAAAATCAAACGTAGACGATTGCAATTTTAGCTCCAAGCGTTGTAAACTATGGCTTCATGTGGCCTCTGGACGCCGCCGTCTTTCTCTCCCCGCCGGAGACTCCTCAACTTCTCCTCCCATCGCCGGCCTCAATTCTCAGTGATCAGATTCGATAAAGAGCGTTTTCCAAAAAGAGTCTTCTGTAGCTACAACCAGGAGAACAACAACAACAACAAGGATCGGACTCAATCCACCGGAATCCAAGTCTACGGCGAGATCGAGAGGTAAGCAATCCACTTCATATCCTTCGTTACCAGCTTATTTCATTCATTAACCTCACTGTTCCCTTCGATCTTCAGGTTGTTAACAGAGACTGTCAAGCAATCTCAAAGTAGCTCCTCTGGATCCGCTGACTGGTCAGAAGTCGAGGTTTGTTGTTTAATCGTGATTTATGTTCTTTCGCAGTAGCTAGAAATAGTGTGATTCATACTGAGATTGTTTCCATTGACCTGTGATATAGGGAGCGTGGGTGCTTAGACCTAGAAACTCGAATCCGAAGATGGTTGCTCATTTCATTGGTGGCATATTCGTTGGTGCA